GTATCTCCCATACATTTAGAAATTCTAAATAATTGAATGTGAACTGTGAATGTGTGTTTGTTGTAGGCCAGATCTATCCGGGATCTGGTAAAAGTGGTCAGTAAAAGGAATCTATTTTGGGGTTTGTATCATCATGAATGTAAAAGGAAGGAACATTTTTTTTTGTTGGCCTCTAATAATAGTTTTCAGACCTTTTTAATACAAAAGATTTTTGTTTGTCTGCCCATTATTGCAGTTTTGTACTTAGTTGTTAGAACTTTCCGCTTTTTAAAGGAAGTGTTACTTACTGTCGGTAGTTACAAAGCATCAGTAGAGATTTTTATCTCCTTCGCAGTTTTCACAACAACTTGTGATGATCGTTTGCATGACTGTGACGTATCTCCCATACATTTAGAAATTCTAAATAATTGAATGTGAACTGTGAATGTGTGTTTGTTGTAGGCCAGATCTATCCGAGATCTGGTAAAAGTGGTCAGTAAAAGGAAACTATTTTGGGGTTTGTATCATCATAAATATAAAAGGAAGGAACATTTTTTTTTGTTGGCTTTGTATCATCATAAATATAAAACGAAGGAACATTTTTTTTTGTTGGCCTCTAATAATAGTTTTCAGACCTTTTTAATACAAAAGATTTTTGTTTGTCTGCCCATTATTGCAGTTTTGTACTTGTTAGAACTTTCCGCTTTTTAAAGGAAGTGTTACTTACTGTCGGTAGTTACAAAGCATCAGTAGAGATTTTTATCTCCTTCGCAGTTTTCACACCAACTTGTGATGATCGTTTGCATGACTGTGACGTATCTCCCATACATTTAGAAATTCTAAATAATTGAATGTGAACTGTGAATGTGTGTTTGTTGTAGGCCAGATCTATCCGAGATCTGGTAAAAGTGGTCAGTAAAAGGAAACTATTTTGGGGTTTGTATCATCATAAATATAAAAGGAAGGAACATTTTTTGTTGTTGGCCAGGTCTATGTAGGCACTGATAAAAGTGGCCAATAAAAAGCTATTTTGGGGTCGTTACATCATTATAGGAAAAACAAAAATCTTATATTTTAGACCAGGTCTATCCAGGATGCTGGCTTGAGTGCACTTTAAAGAATCCTGTGCATCCTTCGAGAAGAGGAGGGGGTTATCCCGGTGTACTGGTCCATTTCAGCCCCCTTTCAGGCCACAGAAGGAGTGTTTAAGTTGTGGCCCACGTCAGGTATCCTACCTGCGAATCCTTCTACCACACTACGTAAGCAAGATCATACACACTAGCTACATAGTGACTCAGGAAGAAGAAGAGTAAATTTCAATTGAACCTCTATAAACTAAACATAGTAGAAAAATATTTATACATACTTGGTCATTATTGAAATCCTGGTAGAACTCATTACCATGTTCTCTACTACTGGCCTTCACTACTATTGGAAAAGATGCTCGCTTGGCCAATTCATTTGGTGTGTAACTCCTGTGAGACCAGGTAACTGTAGTGAGCTCATGGAGTATGTTCTCCATAGCAGTACAGATGATTATGTGCAATGTCACAGCAATTTGTAGATTTTCTTCAGGTTACATGTTTATATATAGGAGATTAAAGATTCTGAGAACTTTACTCTAATAATAGTTCAGGCCTCTAATAATAGTTTTGAGACCTTTTTAATACAAAGGATTTTTGTTTGTCTGCCCATTATTGCAGTTTTGTACTTAGTTGTTAGAACTTTCTGCTTTTTAAAGGAAGTGTCACTTATTGTCGGTAGTCACAAAGCATCAGTAGAGATTTTTATCCTTCGCAGTTTTCACACCAACTTGTGATGATCGTTTGCATGACTGTGATGTATCTCCCATACATTTAGAAATTCTAAATAATTGAATGTGAACTGTGAATGTGTGTTTGTTGTAGGCCAGATCTATCCGGGATCTGGTAAAAGTGGTCAGTAAAAGGAAACTATTTTGGGGTTTGTATCATCATAAATATAAACGGAAGGAACATTTTTTGTTGTTGGCCAGGCCTATGTAAGCACTGATAAAAGTGGCCAATAAAAAGCTATTTTGGGGTTGTTACATCATTATAGGAAAAACAAAAATCTTATTTTTTAGACCAGGTTTATCCAGGATGCTGGCTTGTATGCACTTTAAAGAATCCTGTGCATCCTTCGAGAAGAGGAGGGGGTTATCCCAGTGTACTGGTCCATTTCAGCCTCCTTTCAGGCAACAGAAGGAGTGTTTAAGTTGTGGCCCATGTCAGGTATCCTACCTGCGAATCCTTCTACCACACTACGTAAGCAAGATAGTACACACTAGCTACATAGTGACTCGAGAAGAAGAGTAAATTTTAATTGAACCTCTATAAACTAAACATAGTAGAAAAATATTTATACATACTTGGTCATTATTGAAATCCTGGTAGAACTCATTACCATGTACTCTACTACTGGTCTTCACTACTATTGGAAAAGATGCTCGCTTGGCCAATTCATTTGGTGTGTAAATCCTGTGAGACCAGGTAACTGTAGTGAGCTCATGGAGTATGTTCTCCATAGCAGTACAGATGATTATGTGCAATGTCACAGCAATTTGTAGATTTTCTTCAGGTTACATGTTTATATATATAGGATAAGAGATATATATATAGGAGATTAAAGATTCTGAGAACTTTACTCTAATAATAGTTCAGGCCTCTAATAATAGTTTTGAGACCTTTTTAATACAAAGGATTTTTGTTTGTCCGCCCATTATTGCAGCTTTATACTTTGTTATTATAACTTTCTGCTTTTTAAAGGAAGTGTCACTTATTGTCGTTAGTTACAAAGCATCAGTAGAGATTTTTATATATCCTTCGCAGTTTTCACGCCAACTTGTGATGATTGTTTGCATGACTGTGACGTATCTCCCATATATTTAGAAATTCTAAATAATTGAATGTGAACTGTGAATGTGTGTTTGTTGTAGGCCAGATCTATCCGGGATCTGGTAAAAGTGGTCAGTAAAAGGAAACTATTTTGGGGTTTGTATCATCATAAATATAAAAGGAACATTTTGTTGTTGTTGGCCAGGCCTATCTAGGCACTGATAAAAGTGGCCAATAAAAAGCTATTTTGGGGATTGTTACATCATTATTATAGGAAAAACAAAAATCTTATTTTTTAGACCAGGCCTATCCAGGATGCGGGAAAAGAAAAGGAAAATATTTTGGGTTTGTTACATCATCATTAGAGAAAAGAAAGAAAATTTTTTTTACCTAGAGCCTCTGACAAAAAGATTTTGCTCCCACAAATGTAGGCCTGAGTAGGAAGGTGGTTTGACTTAGCGGTTTCCATTCTGGTTATTGAACTTGTTGTCGGGAGGAAAAAACCACACGCTGACCAATCTCAGTAGGCATGCATAGATACCCCAAGTTACATTGTTGACATGCTGTGAGGTGGCTCAAGCTACAGTACCTTTCAGCCTTAGGTGCATTTATAAATATAGTGATTAATTAAACCCATACTGAGAAGTGGCTTTCAGGCTTCGTTTGGTATGATGAATGAATAAAAAAAAAAAGGTGAATGTATTTACAGTACATCTCAGATTCTGGGAAAAATTGGTGAGCAATTATGACATGACATCAATCAACAACATTCTTCAGATTGTGTATACCTTTTTATCTTTAATCAAACAATTCTAATAATACTATACTGGTATCATATATTGTATTTATGTAATCTTATCCAGAAATGTAATATCAATATACTCATTATTTTCATGAAAGTTTTTTTTAAATATGTGTACAAATTAAGAATTTATTTTATTTAATAAGAATTATTTATTATATACTTACTGTTTTTCAAATTCTCATGTTCAGGTTATTAGGCCAGACTGGTGACTTTCAAGAGTCTAAACTAAAAATACTTTTTGGCTTTAAATATAAGAAAAATGTCTAGGAATAGATTAGGTGTCTGGAACTAGGCCTATTGTTAATAATTCTAGTTAAAAATGTATGAAGGAATAGATGAATAATGAATATCACTGCCAATTTTTTTTTTTTTTTTTTGTACGTTTTTAGTAACTTGATTCCTAACACATTATTTCTTCTTGGGTTTAGGCGGTAATAATGGTTTCTTAATTTTACTGCTTTTTATATCTTGAGTTCCAGGAGAAGTGATTGTCTTGCCTGTACAGTCACTATTTTTTTTAGGTTTTTGTGGTACCATTGGTCTTGCAGCGTTTTCAACATCTTTTTTATATTTGTTCTTTGTTAGAGATTCCTGATTATGTGTGAAGACATTGTCTTTTACAGTTTCTTCACTGTGATGTGAAACATTGTCCTTTATAGCTTTGTTGTCAGTGGAGATCTCATGTTGAATTGACTCCATGCTTTCATTTTCCACTGCCTTTCTACTCTTATTGACTGTGTCTGTTTTTGCAGGGAAATGCATAGTTGGTTTTAATTTTCTACTCTGAGAAATTATGTCATCGGCTGAAATGCATGATCGCATTTTTTTATGACTTTCTGGCAGAATGTTCATAAAATCACATCCAGTTTCCCTATATAACATTCTCTGATCTTGAACTTTGTCTAGATAAGTATCTTGACCCTGAGATAGTGCATGTACAAATGGAATTTGTTTGTTTTTACCAAGATGTTGCTCTGTTTGATGTTGACTGGTTTCTAATAAATGTCCTTTCTTCTTTTTTTTAACTGCTTTCATTTTCTTTTTGTTTTGTTTCTTGTTCTTTGCATTATCTTCATGTTTCATTGAAATTAAATTATCTTTACTATCTATTGAACTGGTATGTGTCTGTTTCTGCATGCTTGTTTCCTGGTTTCTTTGAATGAAATGCTCCTTATCATCTTCTAAAAGCGAAGTTTCAGCTGTTTTCGTCATCACCCCGATTTCTTCCTCAATAAATAAATAATCACATTCTTCCTCATCCTCATCTACTGTAGTCATTTTGTCTTTTTCATTTACTCCTTCCGAAACCTTGAAATGCTCCTTATCATCTTCTGAAAGCGCAGTTTCAGCTGTTTTTGTCATCACTCCGATTTCTTCCTCAATAAGTATATAACCATGTTCATCCTCATCCTCATCAACTGTAGTCATTTTGTCTTTTTCATTTACTCCTTCCGAAACCTTGAAATGCTCCTTATCATCTTCTGAAAGCGCAGTTTCAGCTGTTTTTGTCATCACTCCGATTTCTTCCTCAATAAGTATATAACCATATTCATCCTCATCCTCATCAACTGTAGTCATTTTGCCTTTTTCATTTACTCTTTCCGAAAGTAATGTTTTATCTGTTTTTGTCATTCTCGTTTCTTGTCCAGTGGGAACTAGATAACCATCTTCATCTTCTTCACCAACTGTAGTCATCTGTTTCTTATCTTTTGTATTTGTTCCTTGTTTTATTTGAAAAGAATTCTCTTTATCATCTGGTGAATACGAAGTTTCATTTGTTTTCATCATTCTCATTTCTTGTTCAGTAGGAACTAGATAACCATCTTCATCCTCTTCTACATCCACTGTATTTATCTGTTTGTTGTCCTTCATATTTTTTCCTTGTTTCATTGGAACTAAATACTCTGTATCTTCTACTGATGGAACTCTGTCTAACTCTGTCGTTATTGTCCCAGGCTCAAAAGGAATGGAATAACCACCATTATCTGTTGCATCCATTGACAATAATTTAGGTGTATTATTGTTCTTTTTCCTATGTACATGTGCATTTTCATATGTTGGTTTTATGACCTCCTTCGATGATAGCGGCTCATAAATTGTTTGGTCATTGTTTTGTAATTGAAGGATTTCATTGATCTCTTCATAGCCATCATCAACATCTGGATAGTCATATTCATCTGGATAGTCATATTCATCCGATGAGGAACTTACTGAAGTCAGATCCTGATATTTTCTGGCCATAGTTTCCACCTCTCTTAAATTGATTTGAGTGTAGCTTTGTTTTCTTTTCTTTTTCTTTAACTTGTTTTTTAAGTGTCTCCCTCTCGGCTTTTCATGACTAGGTTTGTCATTTATATCATTTAATTGAAGATTAGTATCCATACTAATTTCTGCAAGCACTTCAATAAAATTTGGTTGAGCATTGACTATGAAATCTAAAAGAGATGAAAATCAATTGGGCTAAATGGGAGGTATCACCACAAAATGAGTTGCATAGTTAGAAAATCACAAACAAATTAATAGATCACATTATTAAAGTTTAAATTGGTCTTTGAATGACTTTTCTAAGAGATGTGAGCATTTGAAATTTTGATATATGCAAACATGGTTTTAAAAGTCAAACTAACCTGTATATAAATAATACAAATGTGGCAAAGACAAGCCAAACCAGTCACTCGTCGCAAAAGTCGATTTTGTGTTAATAATACAGTGTTAGAGAGTAAAATAATAGCTATAAAATGGTAAAAAATCATTCAAATCAGACATTTCATTATGAAGTTACAAGCGTTTAACCACACAGCTGTTTAAAGAACAATATATGAGAAATCAGCCGTTAAAGTTTATGATTTAAGGCATTTCCCATGCAGAAACTATCTTTAAATCTTTAAATTGTGTTGTTTTAACATTGAAAATGGAGAAAATAACAGCATAGGATGGTGTGTAGATATATAAAGGTTAGTTTAGTGCAATAAAATAGATTTTTTAAAATTTGACATTTTAGCATGTCTTGGCCATTTTCTCTGAAACACGATTTGCGACGAGTGACTGGTTTGGCTTGTCTTTGCCACAAATAATAAGACTGGAAGTACAGAAGAACACTTCGTAGTAAGAATAGAATATTGTTTCAAAAAAGTAATTAAATATAATTATATACAAATATATTATATATAAATGTTGTTATATACTGAGCAGCCGTCTCATGGCAAAACTACGTAACTGCTAATTTTTGTTATGTTATGTTGTTTTGCCTTGGAACGGCCGTAGGAATGAACAATGAATACCTGCACTGCCTTGGCAGTGATCCAGTTCATGCTGATGAATGTCGTTGACTAAAACAGTCAAATCGCTCTCAAAGTTAATATAGTCATCTATGGATTTATTTCTAAGGTCAAGACCAACACATAATTGTATTTCACAGCAGTCAATGGGAACAGTCTCCGTGCTATTGCTAACTCCATCTGGACAGTAAAGGAAGTACATGTATTCATTTTACCATTGATACTTTAGTGAGATTGTGTATCCAATTCATAATAAGCCTAATTAGTTATGCATAAGTTATTTCCTCTCTGTTTGTTCTTATGTTACACTTCACAAACTTGATGAAGCTTTCAGTTCATTTCATTTATTTCGTCCAGTTGACTGGCATTGACTGCCAGCAAAAGCTTGTGTCCAATAAAATTACATCTTTAAAGTTATCATTAAATAATGTAATATATTTCAAGCCCTATTCAAAGTATTTATAGAATAAAAACAGTCTTATTTACTATAATTCAGTATTTAATTGCTTTGGAATCAACCAAGCGTAGCAACGCCCTGCGGGGCCCCCCCCCCACAATGATGCGCCACGGCGTAATAATGCAGAATACTGGGCACTGCATGACCCGGAAGATCTTTGATCTAGGAGTAATAGAAGCATCCTTTTTCTTCATACAAAAAGCAAAAACTATAAATAGAAACATAAGAAAAAAATAACAATTAATACTAATAATGGCAATTATTAATAAACAACCCGAAAGCCTATGGTTGATAAACTCTTGGCCATATAACAAAATAATACACAAATTTGTAATTTGTAAGAAATGTACTACAATTACCTTTTGACAAACACACTCCTGCTAAGTACTTCATCCAACCTCTTTGTTTGACATTCAGAATGATTTCATCTTCCTCCGTCAGGCATATCAGCTGAGAGAGATCGTGTTCTGAATGTGTCAAAGAGATTTTGATATATTGTGGAAGTATCATATCTTCGTGAAAGACCACCTTGACATCTGCAAAATATATGAAAAATGCAAATTAACAAACTATAAGTAGAGATCAGAACACGCTTAATGGTAGCTTCCACCAGTTTAATTTGTGCTCTATACACCATTTTCGCCAAATTTGAAATTAAAATTTCCGATAACCTGGCAACCACTACTGGAGGACTTCCAGAAGCCTAGAATTTCACTCTACGTAGTTACCATCATGAAATTATTAAACGGTAAAACTAAATTATTAATGAGCACGAAAATTTTAAAACTAAAAAAGAACGAAATGTTTATATTAAAAACAAGCCTAAGTCTTAAAAAAGCTGTTGTAATGTTTACATTATACAGTAATTAGATGATCATATGTGTTATCTACTGTTGCTATATCAAATTTCTAGCGGTGTGATCCGCTGCGCGGTGCTCTATTTGTAACTATCCAGCTGCTCAGACTAGGCCGCTGAAAGTCCCGCATTGAGTTGTGAGATGTTGGCGGTGCTGTTTCAAAATAATCCCAAAAAATGGTCTATACACCCACTATTTCATGTATCGACACCCTCTTAAAAACTGATGAAATATTCAGTCAAAATAGACTGGCAATGCATTCTTTGTTTTAAAATTAGATTACAACCATTTAAAGAAATTTGACCACGTGGAGCAGGGGTTTTTTAAGGCTTAAAGCTTTTTCAAGTTATTCTTTATTTTTAATACACCCACTGCTGCCTTGAAATCTCCAAAAATATATGTATATTTCTTCCTAATTATATAAATTCAAAGCATTTAACCATTCCATTACTACATTGTTTATGTTTACCAATAAAAAATTGTTTTCTCCTCCATCTGGATGTTTTCAGCAACTATTTGCTAATAAGAAAACAAAATTTAATTTTTTTTTCTACCATATTCTGACAATCTTTAAACTTTAAATTGTGAGGTCATTCATTCATTCAAAATTTAATTTAATCTCAAAATGGCAAAATTTATAGCATGAAATAGATATACAACATATAAACACACAGTAAAAAATTTACAAAGGACTCGTTCAATCAGGTAACAGTTTAAACTACAAAATTTACAGCCTGAAATAAATATACAACATATAAACACACAGTAAAAATATTACAAAGGACTTGTTCAATCAGCTAACAGTTAAAATTACAAATAGATCGTTTTCAACAAGTTTTAAAAGGTAAAACAACGAAAATTAGGACATTTTAAAAAAATTGCCAAAGAAACATGAATGTGAATTTTTTTTAAAGAATTAGTTAAAACGTGGAAAAAACTTTTAATACTCTATTTGAATCTTTGGTTCAAGACTGATACTTGTCAGACTGCCCTTTGCCCTTGGGCAGAACACTCCACATTTGGACAAGGAGAAAAAATAGGTACTAAGGAGAATAATTTGGTAGTGCTGGATTATACACGATTATACACCATATAACATAATGGGGGTTGGGGGGAGGTGTAGAGGAGGTAGCATGTTTATGGTTAATTCTGTATCGAATTAACGGCGGGAAAAAGTGGCTAGAGCAGTTCTTTTAAATATGTATACTATATAAATCCTATTATAAAATAAAACAATTCAATATAAAAGAATGGTTCTCTTTTAATTTTCAGTAGAATCAAGTCCTAAGTAACCTAGTAGCATACAACCATAAATAGCTGTATACTACAACACTTTATAACGAAACATAAATAAATATGAAATTCGAACCTCTTGAGTCCGGTTCCAACAAGGTGACTGGGCTGTTGATAGGAATACTGATTTCATTCTGATTACTGTCCTGTGCTAAAAATCGAAATTGTTTTTTAACACTGTGCAAGTACAAGACCTATTTTAAGAAAGAAAAGTATTGTTTTATTTGTATTTTATGTTTTAATGGACATTTACCACATTTGTATTTATTTGATGCTTTGGTTCCTCAATCATGGATATTTGCATAGCAACAACAATTACCACATCAAAAGTTAACACTAATGATTTTCTTGACGGCAGGGCAACGACCCCGACAGATGATAAGTATCTGGACCTAAGAATGGTGTTTTGATAATCTCATCGGCATCCAAACTATTAATTTATATAGGCCTATCCAATTCAGGCCCACATTTTATATAAACGTTTTAAAATATTTTTTTTAATGCCCCAACGAAGCCTCCTCCTCATCATCATTATCATTAATTTCCCATAGGAATGTAGGGAAAAACTATAAATCCGGAGTGTATTCATTCATTCATCTAACTTTCTATACAATAAACAGTATAGAATTGAAATAGATTAACACCATTCTTACCTGACCAACTGGAAATTTGTAGAAACATTCAGCAGATAAACACTCTGCGACTTTAACTAATATTGGAAAGCACTTTCTAGCAGCTAACTCCTTAGGTGTATATGCACGTATTGACCATGCAAGTTCATCAAGCTTCTCCAAAATGCCTGCCATTTCTTAGGACCAAATATTGAACTGCTTTACAATACAGGACTTGTAACTATTACCTAGTTCATGTTTCATGTCTTCCTACATATCAACATTGGCCAATCATCAATCATTACTCTCCATATACTGAATTGTTTCAAGTACAGTATTGTGTAGGCATATTTCCTGATGATGATGTTCTATTTTCATACAATATGTTTAGATGAGGGGAGGAGTGTTATAGTAATATGTTTTTTAGGGTTTTTTAATTTAAAAAAAAAAAAAAGAAAAAGAAATTTGTATTATTGGTTTCTGGGACCCATAGGTAGTGCTTACAGTAGCTCTTTTGTAATTCACCAGGGTATACCCTGGGAAAGCCCTTCAGCATTTTATGTCCATAACAGCTGTCTGTATTTTTCGATGTTTCCATCATCAATATTATTCCAACGACAACAATGTGTTTTCCCAGGTCGTTCTTCATCAGGATATTTCCAGATATTATGTTTTAATTTACTTTACTGGAATCTTGTAGAAAAGAATCATTGAACATAAAAAGTTGAGTTGAGCATTAAATTTTTTTTTTTGTTATTCATACTGTAGTTGATGATGTGTTTCAACTAGTTTCAGTTATCATGTGTTGCAATTTATGAGATTAAAGTATCAATCCTGTGAATTTTAGCTGGGCACTTACTGCACAGGACAGTTGTCGGCCGACACAGTTCCATAGAGAACACAATGCTACGGCATTTGCACAACCGATCGATTTTTAATGACGATTCGTTATCAAAAGTGAACTGACAATGATGCTGATGATGTCGGCGGATTATTGTACTACCATCGTACAACGTAGTGATTTGCCTGGCTTCACATATTTAAGCGAAAACCCTTAGAGATATAATAAGAATACTAGAGCACTAACTGCAATGTATTCGATGTTCAAAATACGCAGAGCTGTGTGTGTGCACCATCCAAGATGACTGCCATAGATTCAGCCAATCAAATTTCGCCTAAGCACTATCATTTTCAATGGCCCCTCAATTTACACAGAAAGTTCAGTACAGCTAGTTACCTGTATGATTGAAACTCGAGCGTTGCGGTGTATTTTTATTTATTTTTTAAAAATTTTATTTTATTAGACTATCCACCATTGCAATTTGTTTTTTGCTAGCCATATTCAAAATACCGCTGGTCGAAAATTGCAAATTAAGTGACAAGTTAAATTTTTGAATATATTATACAAGGAAGAACATTCATGGGATTGGATTTTACTCTTTTGCTACTAAAAATTATATAATTATCAAAAAAAATCAACTGCTTTAGGCATAGGCATTTCGAAGGAGGCCTAAAATAAAAAAAAGGTTTTAATACTTGCTGAAATACATCGTTTTTTCATTTAGATCTCCATTTTTCGCTACTTTAATGCAACGTTTTTTTCTGTTGTATGAGTAGTCATATAAAGGTACTATATTCCCGACAGTTGGCTATGCAGCAGTGTACCCTTTGAATGCAAACTGAAGACAAGTGAAGATATAAAGGCAGCCGACTGTCGGGTACATAACGACTATCTAGCTTAGGCCTTCCACAAAAACATGAGGCCTGGTTTAGTAAGGTAGTTACTGCGATGCCAGGGTGGTAGATCGTTTAATCAATGATATAGTGTTATCGTCTAATACGTAAAATACATTTAAATAATGTGTGTAAAATTTAAGAATGCACCGTGTGGGTCGCTTTCTTTTTTATGCAGTAGTATACGTAGCAGAGTGACGGCAGCAAGGCTAGGCGTAGTCTAGGGCCTAGATCATGTACATTCTTGATCATCGTGATGAAAACTTCGTGTGACAGACGATTGAGCCCAACTGGTATGGAGAATCGGGCCCAAGCTATTTTCAAATAAATTGTAGTCTAGCAGGCGACTGCCAGCTCACCCACTCTAGATATCGTTCCAAACTACTGTAAAATGAAAATACTGTATACCTAGTTAGGCCCTAGGCCTACAAAATTTTTTCAAAGAAATTTGCTAAAAATATTACTGTAATTTGCCTATCAAATTACATTACCAATGTGGTCTAAAATCACTATTTTGGGCCACAAAGACTCCCCCTGAATTTTTCAACCACCACACAAATTTGAAACCATATTTTCTGATTATGTCATTTATGATGACTTAATCAGAAAATATGGTTGGTTAAGTCATGTATCATGCATAGGAACGTTGATGCCTGCAAGGCTCTGGTTTATACTGCATGTTTTTCAATGCTTGTATACAGTAACATTATTATTTCGATGGAGAGGAGAAATATACAGTATCATTTTTGAAATGTGAACAATAAATTTTTGGAATTATTATTACTATTGGTTCCTATAATGCTGTAAAGCAAAGAAACCTTTGTGGTCATGCTGTGCGTCTGTACGTCTGTGAAACTGACATCAAATTTGTTGAAAGTTGTAAACAATCATCAAACTTGAATTTCCAAACAAATAAACATTTGCATACATGCAGTGTTGGTCATGTATTTGTGCCCTATCGCTTGAAAGCAGTATTGGATAAACATTAAAGCAATACACTAAGCATCAATGGTTCAGTGGATTACATATGGAAAACTTTGTCACATCTAAGTTGCCACGCCCCCACAAACGCCGTTAAGCACAGGGACTAAGCCTAGAATATCGCACACGGTGGGCTAAATTCGGGTGCTGTTGTCAAATACAGTAACTTTTCTTATGGGTTCGCACAGAATTTGAAAGTAAATATTATCTACTTTTCAGTGCTACTAAATTCAATCACCACCTATTTGGAATACGCACTTTTGAACTGAACAATTGCATTCTGTTCCTTGTAGAATGGGAAATGGGCTTGATTTCTGTCGATTTAGAAGAGGTCACCTCACTAAATCAAGCCTCAGACATAAACCAAATGAGATTTATTCGGACGGAATAATATAGTTTATTAAATACTCGTTCTTGTAATATAAAACTCGACGTGATTGGTGTAGGTCCGAATTACACACCTTTCTTCTAAAAATAAGTATATTTTTCACAAACGGTCTTTCCCAAGAATATGGGTCAAGCGTTTCAGGACATTGATAAGAGGGGAGATTGTTTAATATTCCTGATATATTACTTACTTTAATTTTTGAATTGGCGCTATATAAATGTTTATTATAATTATAATTATTATTATTATTATTATTATTATTATTATTATTATTATTATTATTATTATATATTTTAGAAAAAAAAAGATCTCCACAGGGAATCTTACTGCATTTAAAAGTGTGACTGCATTGTACGTATACTTTTTATTTGCTGACCGTCTAATAACAGTTCACTATGTAGGTATTTAGTGTGTGCAAAAACTGTATTCACCCATTCAATAATGGAACTGTACAGCACAGTCTCGCTCTAGCGATCTGCATCACCTGGGTCAACCTGTTAGCAGCGAAGGAAAACGAAAAAAACACCACAAATTTTTTCATACTGTATGTGAATGTCTATTTTGATGAAATCCAGAAGCAGTTCGTTGACCTCTCCAAACTATAATATTGGACCAAATAGGCAACTGAGGGCTCATTTATACAACATGGCATTATGCACCTTATCATCACAGCAAAGTTAAGAGTATTGTATAAACGAGGTTGGATTCTGTGTGATTAAAAACCATCTGAGAAGAGGCTACTTGAGGAATCGCAAAATTTGGACCGTTTGTGACCCTGGCGGTGCCTACTTGTTTCCTTAGGCTACAGGTCGCTAATAAGAAGAAAAATATAGTTTATTTGGCCGGGTTGGGTCGGTAAAATTAGGTAAAATATACAAGTAATGTTACATAATAGAATTTGATTGATTTTCTTGTATTTCTTGTATAGTATTTATCTTTTTGTTGGTTGCATTGTTCTTGAACTAATTTTTTGGTACTGTAATTATATTTTTAATTTGTATATTTCTGAGGTAAACCTTACTTTTTAGGACTTTTTGTTGATTTTAATTGTTATGAATTAACACAATCGATCAACAGTAAACAATCAACTCCCTCTTTCAAAACAAACCGCGCGAATTTCATTTTTTGTTTGACATCGTATCCAAAAATAATTTGCGCCATACGACAATTTCGGTGTGTGACACTTGTAATAAACCGGTGAAGCGGTTGGCGCATCGGTTGTGGCTTGGACTCCCAACCTCGAGGTCAGGGGTTAGAAACTCTCACTGTGCAAATTGCTTGTGTCCTTGGGTAAGGCATGGTTGCCTCTCTCCACCCAGGAGTACAAGTGGGTACCTGGTAGGTTCCAACACAACTGCGCTGATTACTAGCTGCAATATTATGGAATAATAATATAATTTAATTTAATTTGGTGTTCAATGTGTTCCATATGTGTTTGATCCAATGACCGTGGCAGTGATGTGAAGCGCTTAGAGGCTTTGTAAAGGCATGAAGCACTATATTAAGAACGACATATTATTATTATTATTATTAATAGCATGTTCTATAAATAGCAAATTTTGACATAACACTGGGTTAATGTTTTTAGCGTGTTGTATAAACACAATCTATTTCCTTAGAGGAAACTAACAGCACAATCATAACCTCCATAGCTTTACTATGACCTTATCAATTGTATCATATCTCCATGATTATACTATATGCAATATTTGATAATTTTCTAAGATTTTTATTTAATGTTTAAAGTTTCTTGGATTGTTACACAATATTTGATAATTTTCATTTTTACTCATACATACAGTACTGGTATTTACATTTCTGATATTCACAATACACAATTGTGAACTTACAATTCATTGCTAGAAACATTCACAACATTACATTATCAGCTGAGGGAATTTACAAGGCATTCATTTACTGCACTATGACATTAGGCTCCACCTACTCTCAATATGCCAAATAAAAAAAAATTAATAGTTTCTCGTCTCCTCACGCATCTATTCTCTCTGCCTCATCAATTTTTTTTTTTTTTAAATTTCTTTTATTTTATGAAATGTATGCAAATCTGGCTAAATCACATCAGTAAAATTCCTCTCTCGATCGTTCATAGTTGGGGATACATGGTGTGAATTATGTCTAGTGCTTCTTTTGTTTGCTTTCAATGTGTCTGCTTGGTAAAAGTGAGAAAGTAGTTAGTAGTTTCCCATCGACCATCTTGAATTGACCATTTCAGGGTAAACAAAGAGAAAGGAAAAAAAAGTAAAGAAAAATAAAGTGCCCTCATTCACCTTTTTTTCAAAATATTGGGACAAGAAACTACGGTGCTTTTATTTTTTACTTGGCCTTATATAGCTATGGCTCCCTTATCTTCCTGGTTTTGTTTCTTTCCATAATTCCTACATCATTACAAATAGTGTAATATTTTACCAATGGCCAACATATGAACTTCGACCCTTGTAGCAGTCTGATTATTATTATTATTATGCTATATTTAAACGTTATATTTACAATGTCAATAAAGAATACTAAACGTAATATTGATATAGCTTTGAAGTTAGTTTTTCTTTCATTTGTTACAGTATATCTTTCCAACACCTAAATGCACAATATAAGGAAGTATTTTTTCATTGGCAAATAAATAAGTGAGAAATTAAATTATTTGAATGTTTGATTTGCATTTGGAAAAGACACATTGTTATTATAGGTAAATTTTGATATATATGGTGGGGACACTTTTTATTTCATAAGTCAATAAATAAGTAAATAATTTATTACACAGATTTGGACCTGTAAAACTTAAAGGTTTTTAGCTATTAGAATAGAAAGAGGAAAGTATCTCAAAACTCTTAATTTTTGATTCTGGAAATGATTTCCTTTCCCATGTCTTCAATTGTTAATGATTGTACCTTTGCACTGGCCTTGTGTCTGGTTCATGTCACTACAACAGAAAATGAGGTTATAATTGTCTGTTCGCCTATGTAATTTTTGAGTAACTGTAAATTTCCAACAATACCCACAAATATTTGCTTTACAAGTTATTCACCCTGTTCTCATCTAGCATAGTCCTTCAACATGGAAAAATGTTTCCCACTGTTATTAATTGTTTATGAATCATTACCTCATTCATTGGCCTTTTGTCTGATTAATGTCATTACTCTAGAAAATGAGGTTATAATTGTTTTTTCGCACATGTATTTTTTGAGTAACAAATAATTCAGTCTAGATTCTGATAGAGCATGTGATACTATAATATTGCCTTTCCTTATTTTAATTACAAATATATTTCCATACATTTCACATGCAGTGTTACTTTCACATTAAGAAGGCATTTCACATTTTTATTAGACTTTGGCAAAGGTCTACATGGTTGTAAACAGCGAATTTTATGTTTTTTATTTGGCGTACCAGAAATGTTATCAACACATCCAGCTTTGTTACTGACATTATTCAGACTTTTCTTCACTTCAGTGATCTCATTGTGATTTTTTTTGCCAGTTTTATCTTTTTCTTGATATTCATGTTGTTTTAAACTTCGTAATTCTTCATTTGCATGTTTCTTTTCAAATTTTACTTTATTTTCTACCAAATTGTTTTCTTCATTTTTGTATTCATTTACAGCATTCTCTACTTCATTCTTTCTTCGATATTTCACCAAAGTGTTTTCTTGCTCATCTTCTCCATTTACATGTCTCTTTCCTTCTTCCTTTTCTTCATTTTCTAGCAAATTACTATCTTCCTTTGCGTATTCTACATTTATACCATTTTGTTCTTTCTTCACTTTCTTTTCTGAAGCTTTTTGTGTGTTTCTGCTTCATTTGTAATCTTTTTATTATCTTTCCCCAAAGTTTGTTCATTGAATGTCAACATCATGTCTTCTTCCTTTATTGGATTGTTTTCTCTTCTGTCATGCGCTGTTCTGTTTTCAACTTTCTGAAATACTTGTTTTCAATATCCTGTGATGTTAGGGGGAAATTCCATGTATATATCTGGTAGAAAACAGAACAAACAGATTAAGTACATGGATAATGATTTTTCCTACATGGATGATATCTACTACATAGAAAATTATTCTTCATTTTTCTCCAACAGCACCTGTTGGTGCCCTTCTGCACTGTACCCTCTATAGACGTTAATATACATACTTAACACCAACACTGGTATAGATACTGTGTTTAGTTAGAAATTTTAGAGTCAAACTACACCTGAACGTGTTCTTTAAATGGTCACCTAAACTGAAGGAAGCACTTTTCACAGATAGGTATAAATGTTTAGGCCTCCTGCCCTTGCTGTGGAAGCAAACAAAGTGCAGTTTATATTTCAAAAACATAGTGGGAGGAACTATTTATTAAAGGGCATAAACATAACCTTCCATCCCCCTTTGCCATATCAGTAAAAAGCTTGGTGGTACAATTAATTAGTGACAATTAATATCCTACATATACCTGGTAATATTCTTAAGTCCTATCTATACTATGAAATGTGACATGACTGAATATGGTCATGATGACATCACATCATGACCATATATGGCATTTCATGACTATGGGCATTCAACAGTTTTTTGTTAAAGAAAATTTGGTAGTGTGAATAGTTGAAGCTTTATAGTTCAACTGCCAACCTTGCTAGTTCATATGGTTGCTACGGTAGTTTCTTTTATGGATATTACTCTAGTCAATATTTCACATGTCATGCACAGAGTTTATATATCCTACCTGTGTGGAATTGCAATTGCAATCACAGCATCTTAACATTACATAATGACGAGAACAATGCACCAGCAGAATATAAATACTCACAGCTGTGCACACTTCTTAAGATCTGTCACCCTCTAAGTGTTATATAATTATATAACACTTGTATAATAATTAAGATTCACTCCTTGATTAGTTAGTTATAATTGTTACTGCTTTATAGAAACAACTTGTACTTATCTGCTCCGCTTGTTAGATTGCATAAAATCTGAATAAAATAGTGTAGATTGAACACTGAGAAATCAGTACATTTCTCGGTACATTACATGCGTATATTTGTGTATAGTCTACAAAGGGACTTGAGAATCGGGTTCAACTATACCACACCTATTGTGCTTTTTTCACTCTTGAATAGTTCCCTACTCCTATTAAAAAATTTTTTTTATAAATATAGATTTTGTGACAAAAAAAAGAATATAATGTAAAGTTACATGAAGTCTGATTTGAGATGCATTTTATACTACTCACATTTTTAAAACTGCTTGTGATTAGTAAAATATGAAAAATAAAATACTTTTTGTATGCTGGTATGCAATACTTTAATAAGTAATAAATTTATTTGACAACAATAGGAAATAGCAAGTACTTATGTCAGTTGGTTTCTACTTGTGTTTTTTTTTTGTTTTTTTTTTTGTGACCGACAGTTACAATTGAGGACAGGAGATTAATCTTTGAGTATATAATAATGTTTCAATAAAGCGTCAATCATTCCGTATTTCTGTTGAAAAAAGTCAGTGGTGTGAAATCTCGCATCTTTAAAACTCACACATTTAAAACTGCTTGTGATAAGTAAAATATTTTAAAAAGTATTACTTTGTAATAAATTTATTTGAGAACAATAGGAAATAGCAAGTACTTACAGTATGTCAGTTGGTTTCTACTTGTGTTTTTTTTTGTTTTTGTTTATTGTGGCAAAAGTTAGAATCGAGAACATGAGATTAATCTTTTCAATGAAGCGGTAATCATTCCGTATTATTTTGAAATTTCTGTAAAAAAAAATCAGTAGTGAGAAATAAACAAAATTTTTTAATCTGTGAAACCTAATTATAATTGATTAAGAAAAAAAAAATGAAATTGATATTCATTCTAAGTGTTACTTTAAATTTAGGTTTTGTCAATTGTGCATTTTTGATTTATAGTTTAGTTTAATAAATTTTATATATAATTTGATTTAAGTACCTCTCAACGTTTCACAGGGTGAATCTTGTAAATAAATAAAGGTTATTGTTATTTCAGGAATTTCATCATAATAAAAATAATTGAATATTTAAATATGATTATAAATATTTTTTATCTTGCAGTTCGTCTCCATTATAGTATCAGGTCTGGAAATCTGCATTACTTCATTTTCGATCTGTAAGTATTATTTTGGTAATTTTTTTTAAGTTTTGAGAGCACTGTTGGAAAAGAAAAAGTCAAAGAGCCATTATTTCCTGAATAAATTGGCTAAGGGCAACTTTTAAAGGAAATAACGCTGCTTTGGTTTTAAATTTTCAACAACGCCTAAATAACTTAACTGTTCTCATCTAACACAGTCCTTTGACATTACAAATATGTTGATGGTATAATACCGAAACCTCCATGCACAGTTAGGTCAAACACTATGGAGATAGTGCCGCCGCCAGCAGGGAGGTAATTTGAGTGAGCCCTGCCCAGACTATGAAATATTATGTGAAAAAAGCATGTGACTTGCTTAAATATGTTCTTAATGACATCACATCACAGGGCATAACCACATTCATGGGAAGATGATTTCGTATAGGCCAAGTTTAAGTGTTTCTTTAATATATATGATAAAATACTACTGCACTAGTAAACTGGTCGAAAAAGGGGGTTGGCCAAACCCCATAACCCCCTGGTTACAGCCTGCATCATGACCATATATAGGCACATGATGACTATGTACGAGCATGTAACAGTTTTTATCAAAGAAAAATTAATAATCTGGACAGAGCTAGTTTAAAGTACAAACATTTTAAGTTTTCCCACAAAGAACATATTGCAATTTATTTACATTTAAAGATGAAAATTACTTTATTAGCTTATTTGGCTTCAATATTAGAAAACAAAAATAGTCTGTTTGATAATTAAATACCTTGTGGTGTTTTTATTTGTTCAAAATTTTGGTGGCATTATCCATACGTGACCTATCTGAAAAATATTAATATGCCGGTAGGCCTTTTTCCATCATATTGACACTTTATTGTATATTTGCCTGTGTGAAGTTGAATAATTAAATAAATAAAAATAAATAGGCATAGTAAACATTCTTATTCAACGTTCTAGTTTCCCATTGACATTTCATGGATAGAAAGAGACAAATAAAGTGACATTCCCAAGAACACAAACAATAACATAGGAATTTATACCACAACTTTTGCCATGAGAAAGACACTGGTATTGTTTTTATTACCACCCGGTCATTAGCATTGACATAGGCAGTGGGAAGAGCCCCTTCTGTGACAGCAAATTAGTTCCTGAAAGTGGGTTTAAATACAAAAAAAATTGACTTTTAAGGTTTTTCAGAATAGGGATTCAGTTCAGTATTCTCAGTTTATGCACTCTCCAAAAGCAACCTACGCCCTTGAACTCATAATTGGCAAACCAGCACAACATTTCCAATACCCTTGTGTTGCATTTGTACACAAATGCATACAGGTACCCTTTTATACTCCTGAATGATGACCAACATAGGTAAATTGCCTTGCCCACAGAAAGCTAAATGCATAGTGAAGGTTAAAGTATCCGACATCACAATAAATTCTGCAAGCCGCATTTGCTTTGCCAACTGCTTCAACAAGTGACTGGCCTCATTATAGGCCCAAAGCTGTATCCAAATGCAACCATCTTATTTTCCATACTGCTACTGGAACTACTAGGATGTATGCAGGGGCGCACCTCCCTCGGGCTCCCCTAGTTGCACTTCCTACCCCTTTCAAAATGTTTGAAGCAAAAAAGTCATGCTCAAGTAGATATAAATGACCACATCAACCTTATTTTGCTATTCAGCCGCTCCCCCTCCCCTTAATCATCAAGCCCCCACTTCACCAATGCCGGCCCCGCCCTCAACAGCTCCTCCCATTTAAAGACTCTTGATACGCCATGGTTGGAGCCAGCAGTTACTTCTGATGAGACAGGTTTACAAAGTAGAATTCAATATCGGATGGCGTGGTCTGCTAGTGCTTTCAATCTGTCTCTTATACACATCTAGATGTGTATAAGAGACAGCTTCTAGATACGCCACTGGCATGGAATATTCTCTTTTGTCAGGGTTACCGGTGGAGAGCTTTTTGATGACATCGTTGCGAGAGAGTACTACAGTGAAGCTGATGCAAGCCATTGCATACAGCAAATCATGGAGAGTGTAGAGCATTGCCATAAGACAAGTGTTATACATAGAGACTTGAAGGTAAGTTAAGCCCCATTCACACTATCAAATTTTATATGACAAAAGCATGTGACATGCCTAAAAATAGGCTCCCAGCGGGAGTGTGTGTCTACTACCTTATACAGGAGTTTTGTTTTTTTTATAGTATCTTATGTTCTTCAATATGCAGATGTGTGTATTATTGTAGTGTATCTGGATTTTTCATAAAAATTTTCTTTTATAACAATATTCTGTATAGGCCTGCTACTATATTACACTAAAAACGCTTTAAAAATGAGTAACTTTGGCGAGTTACCACGTTATGCCATTGATCACGAACAGTACTACCATGTTCTAGAGGGCGTCCATCAACTGATGGTAAAAGGCGTTCGTGGCGAACGTGTGCTGCGTCTCTACAATGCGTGTTGCGTTTCGAACGTAATTTTGTTCGAGTTCCGAACGCTATTCGATTGTCAATAGAGCGCCCCAACCTTGTGGTAGTAGTACCTATCATGCCTAAACCGGATTTACCCTTTTCCGCCATCTTTAATTGCTACATCATGACATAGTGTCTATGCCCACATTGGGGGCAGTAAACACAAAAATAATCATGATAACATCACATCATGACCATATATAAGCACTATCATCATGATCATATTCATCATCACCAGGAACATTGTAAGCATCAACATCTTTGCAATAATCTTTATCATCACTAGGCCTAAAAAAAAATTGTTTATGTTGCCCACACGCAGTGACATTTCAAAATCGGGGTCGGTCAGTCTGCATTTTTTTTTAAGCTACTGACTGAATACAAACTAAAAATGCATGTTTTAACAAGGAAATGGCAAATGTTCTTGAAAACTCAAAATAACATGATTTATGATATAAAGATTTATGAAGATGTTGTTCGTAACTTAAATGTTCGTAAATCAAGTGGACCTGATGGCATTTCAATTAAGATTTTCAAGGAAAGTGTAAAGCACTTTCCCCTCCCTTTCAAAGGTTATAGTCAAGTTCGATGTCATATATGTACCAAATTTTTGGAAAAAATCTATAACCTTGCCTATCGCTAAGTAACCAAAGCCAAAAGATATCAATGATTTGTGGCCTATCTTCTTAACTAGTGTTCCTATGAGATGTCTTGAAAATGTTGTTAAATGAAATATCTTTAAAAAATGTTGACTTTCAATTTGCGTATCCTCCTTATAGAAGTGTAGAGGACGCCGTTCTCACTCTTCGAAATGGCATTTATGAGCATTGTATTCATCGACTCTGCTAGTGCTTTCAATACAGTGCAACCGCATGTTTTAGCACATAATCGAGTCCTAACATTTTAAATGTAAAATTAATATGTCATAGTGAGTGTTGACAATTTCGACATAGTTATATTCTGTTGCAAAAAACTGTGAAATATTATAACAAAAAGTTAACTAGGACCTTGCTGCCCTTGTGTTAGAAGCTTAGGCAATTAATCTTGGATGGATAGACTCTGGTAGAACCTTGCCACTGAGCTGCAACAGTGTCAATTTTATGAAATACATAATTGGCAGATGCATACAAATATTTTAACTTTTCATATCAGAAGAAAATAAAATCTGTATTTTTGCAAAAAAGATAGCTGATCCCAGCCGTTGTGGTGCCAGGGGGTGGCAGGGTGGGCATTTGCTTTTTTGATTGCAAATCCCTAATATTGTGGTCTGAAAGCACATTTAGGACCAAATTAAGCCATAAAATCTCTCCCCATGAACCCTAACAGGGATTTTTTATTCCGGCCATTTTGGTTTAGACCCCTCTGTCGGACACGTCGGACCCCTTGTTGGAAAATTTCTGGTGCCACCACTGGATCCTAGATTTGGGTCGGTTGGACTTTTGGCAACATAACAGTTTTTTTTTTCTTTTTGGCCTTTGCAACAATCATTATCATTGTCGTCATCATTATCATCACCATTATTGTCATTATCATTGTAATCTTCATCATCATTGTCATCATCATTAGCATCTTTGTCATCGTCATCCTTCCTCAATGTTATTATAATCATCAATCGTCACTGTCAATTATTATCATTATCTTTGCTCCTGCCACTATCATTGCATCGTCTCTACATTGTCATTTCTTATCATCATAATCTTGATTATCAAAATCTTGATTATCAGAGAGTCTACTGCCACTGTCACAGCTGTCATTGTTTGTTAATATATTACATACCCAGTAACAATCATATTACTTTCAATAACATTTTTACTCATTTCTGTTTCTGTTTTATTTTCTCCCCGACAGCCAGAGAATCTTCTGCTGGCAAGCAAAGCCAAGGGGGCCGCAGTCAAGTTGGCCGACTTTGGACTTGCTATCGAGGCTGAAAATGATAAACCAAGCTGGTATGGTAAGTATGGGAATCTATCTACCACAATATTCAACATAGATTTAGGATGAGCTATTTCAATACAGTGTAAAAATTATGGAAGAGTGTAGATTGCAAAAGATTCTTTGTAATGTATTGATGGAGGTAGAAAGTAATCTAAAATGGAAATGGTTAATCACAAAAAAGATTTACTGTATTTTGTTAACAATAATGTTAATACTGATAGTTAAACAAACTAAATAGCATTAATTAAATGAAATATATTTAATGATAGGCTTGTTATGCTACCAATAACCGTATCAGAGAATTTGAAATAAAGTAGGGGTAATAATCGTTGAAGAGAATCACTAATGGGCACTGGCATAATATTGCTGCACATTGCCAGAGTTTTTGTTGATGCAGATCATATGCAATTCAGCACAATGACGCTGCAAGTTATGAGTTATTCTCCTACCTTTACCTTAGAATTTTTAGGAAATAGGTGTGATATCCAAGGGCAAAAAGAGCAAATGTCAAAAAGAGGTTTCCTATTGCCTTTTGTTATGCAAACCCGGATTTAAACTTTTTAAAAATCTTTTTACAGTGTGTCTTGCTTAATTAGTGCTGTATTGCCAATGCATCAAAAGTCAATTGATTAGATAAACTTTTACCCTTAAAGGTGTGCCTTCAAGGGTAAAAGTCAAAAAATAATATGTTCTGCCTTATGGAGTATAATGAACATAAAACTGATGGAAAAAAAAACCAGTAGGGATACTAAGGGAAAAAATACATCATAAAAAATGTTGCTATTTTCTGTAAAGTAAAGCCTGAAACCCTCTATTTTGGGCTCATATACAGTCAAATGAAAAGATTTTTCACACAACTAAAACCAATTCCTCATTATAAAACTTAAGTGACACTTAGTAATGGAGTAGCGCATAAACTCATCTTTATAATTGGCTTTTACTTCCATTTGACATTCAGGTTTAGGAGAAATTTACTATTTTATTTAATTTGAGAACTGATTTAACATACCCAGTTGTGTTTAAGTTCATCTATATTAATCAACACATGACAAAATGCAGTATAAGAAAAGTTGTAAAAGATGTAAAAGAATTATTTTTAAAATATGAAGTTTATTTTTATTAAATAATACACATTATAAGTCAGTCGTGACATCATTAACTGCAATAATTTCCACATAGTGTATGATAATTTTTCAAAGGATTTGCTGGAACTCCAGGTTACCTTTCTCCAGAGGTGTTGCGTAAAGAAGCATATGGCAAGCCAGTCGACATGTGGGCATGTGGTAAGTCCGTTAGATTTAAATTTGTACACCTGTCCAAGTGATAGTGGTAGTAGTGACAAGGTTTAAATATTAATAATCAAACATATATAATGCACTTTTTTTTAATTTCATGATCAAAAGGTTCAGGAAGTCTACCTACAGCTTTGTGCTCACTACCATTTTTTTTAATGGGACAAATTTGTGTTTGATGTACGCATATGAGCATGATGTGCCCATATGTGAGCATGATGGTGTTATATTATAATGATATAAATAATTTGAATTAAGCATTAGTATTTGAATAAAATGAATGAATTGCTAGACTTCTCTTTAACAAATTTAAAACAAATTTGTTTGCAGGTGTAATTCTGTACATTCTTCTGGTTGGATATCCACCATTTTGGGATGAAGATCAACAGAAGCTCTACAACATCATCAAGCATGGGAAATATGACGTATGCCTATTGAATAGAATTAATCATTTATTTTCTTAAATTTAACAATTTTAATTAAAAAAACTTTTCCAGATACGGGCTGGTAGTAGCTCCATTGCAGCACTACCCAGTGTTTTAAAATTGGCAGTACACTACCAAGAAGCAATATCCTGTTTTTTGGTGAATGAACTGGAGTAACAGATTTGTCAGAATTTATTCTGGTTTTTTTTGGAAATAGAAAAATTATCCAATGCTAAGTGAAACATTTGTCTGCATTGGTGGCAACTTCAGCGTGAATCCGGGGTCTCCTGGATCTCGCAGGAGTCTCCCCGGAAATCGGGATGACCTTCCGCACTCCCGCAAGCAGGCAAGAATCTGCTGGGAAAAACCCATCTCCCACAAATTCATAATATTTGCATGTTTTCAATATTTTATTATCAATTGTCTCATGGAAGTCAGTGCCAATGTGTATCATTGTGTACAGTAATAAAATTAAATGTGTTAACAAAAGTCATCCACTGCAGATAAGTGAAGGATTCAAAGGAAAGGGAGACAGCTAGCTCGGGTCTCTAACTTTTTCCAAATTATAAACAAAAATGTGGGGGAAAAAAATTATATTCTGAGTCATTTCTGACCATCTATAGGTGCCACCTCAGCACTTTGGTGGGCCTCAGGTGGTAGCCTCTGGTGTAAATCATTATATATAAGCAATACTGTAATAAGTTTTATTTTTTCTGTTGTGTCACCTGCCTCTGTCCCCTTCTTTGTCAATAAACCTTTAGGCTGCTGTTTTCCAAATATGTACTTGCTTTTCTTGGTCCACAGTACCCATCGCCAGAGTGGGATACGGTTACACATGAAGCCAAAGATCTTATAAACAGAATGCTCACTATCGACCCTAATCGAAGAATCACTGCGTCTGAAGCTCTGAAGCATGCCTGGATTGCGGTAAGCTACACACGTTTAATGTGAACCTCTTAGTAGCCTTAAGCCAGCACTCACTGCTTCATACGGCCATCACACGACAAATCCAACTTTCGTTATGCAAGTAAGCGCCAGACCACGTAACGCCTGCTGGTTGTCGATGGCAGTCTGAACGGATCATCATTTAAAACGATCAGTTGTGTACGTGTCGTGTTCTTCATAGAATCGCATCGGCTGATACCAATCGGGCACAGTGAGTGCTCGGCTTATATATAGGTATACAATGCCGAATGTAGATCTGATCAGTGTTTTATAGTTTTATTTATTTATAGCTATTGAAGATTGGTTGTAGTATTTGACTATTGTACTGTGAAGATAACAACTTTCAAGTGACAATAATTTGTTTATGTAACTTTGACCTAGTCATGTGCACTTGGAGACTACAAAAAATGTTCAGTTGTATGGTATTAAATAATATGTTCCTTGGTGAGCCTTCCATTTTGAATTTCATGTCAAGTAATGAGAATAATTTTTTTTTCTGTAACAACTAAAATATTAATTCTTGTTCAACGTTGCTATGAAAATCAGTTTATATTGTAGGTGTGCTATAAATGTAATTAAACTAATATATTTAAGGCAACATAAAATTTGAAGAAGATTAAATAAAAGCATGCTACAAAAGGTTGCTAACTGTTGCTCAACAATTACTTAAATTGGCTGCATCTCAAATTTCTAGAATTTGCAATGCATAGAAAATTGTCTTCATGTACCGTTAAGAGGTGTGCCTGAGCGTAGTTAATTGAGCATGGTTGTTTGGTGCACTTGGCGGAGCAAGCAGATTACCACCCGGGGTAATTGCTTTCATGCAAAAATGTAGCAATTAATCATGAAATGAGCGTTTTCTCACAGACAAGGGCGAGAAATGAATGTTAACATCAGCAGAAACGACGTCCTTAACCATGGATCAGTTTTGAAAACTTCTTGATCGTTTATGCTGTAAATTATCTGTTGACGTGTCTGTGGATCTATTTATTGACTATTTTTAACACTCTTGCTATAGATTTATATTTTGACTTCTAGTGGATCCATTTGACCAATTTAATGCTGTAAAATTTGACATTCTGATGGATCCTCTTTTACTGAGTAACACCATTGCTGAGTTTATTATGGAATAATTACTAAGTGGTTTAACATATAGAATGCTAGTTGAAGTAATTTGGTTTAATTCTACATTTACACTTTTCCGGTTGATTTTAGAATCGTGAACGTGTAGCCTCGTCCGTACACAGACAGCAGACCGTGGACAGTTTGAAGAAGTTCAATGCTCGCCGGAAGTTAAAGGTCAGTACACTTTATTTTTTAACATCGCTGCTTTCCTTATGTTTCAGCTGGGGGCCTGAAATGCAGTTGATCCTGTGTGCATTATGGCTCGTGTGCATGTTAAAGAATGCAGTACACTATTCAGAAAAGAGTAGGGGATTGTCTGATGGTGTAATGCTCAATCACCACCAGAAGGATCCCACTGGAAATAAGTCTTCTTCAAACTTTTGTGGGTTATCCTTGATGTTTAAACTGAATAAATAAATCCATCTATCCATCCAGCCAATATTATTAACAATGTGATTCTTCTTTTTCCTTATTTCTTACCCAATGCTTATTATTTTATCATATATTCATTCGTTATTTGTTGGTGGACATGCACATCATACACATCAATTAAAACACTGCATTAACAATACAGTATTCATGCACACTCTCGGCTATTACAGATTTATTTGCTGTTCCATTAAATGCTTAATTTATTACTGCTGAATGACAATGTTGGGAGTCTACATTTTGAAATATTTTAAAGACCATTAACATTAACAGGTGATGGTGATTTTTTTCAATGGCCCAACCGACCCAAAATCCTTAAAATATAAGAGCCTGTTTTTTCGGCATTGATGTGGTTACAATTTCACCATGAACCAAAAGCTATGTTGTTGACAGTGGTTGACAATGAATCCTAGAATTAGACCTTGGCCTGGGATCTGAATAATCCATCACATTAGTATTGGACTGTGGTAAAATTGCCAACTATATTACTCCAACACAACATTTTTTGGCCTAACAGGAAGTGATTAATTCTGGTAGTAAAGTAAATCATGATTACAAGGTGAATAGGGTTTACAAATTCTAACCAAATAAGCTATATATACCTTGTTGACTTTCCTTTTTACAGTATATAACCTTAATAAGTAATTGATTTTTTTTTACATTTTTAGGGAGCTATACTTACTACCATGCTGGTTTCCAAGAACTTTTCCAGTGAGTACACTTAAGTTACTGATTATTTCTTCACAATTCTGTCTTGCATTGCTTTGCTGGACATGACAAACCATGAATGCAATGTGTGTGATATGCATGTAAATAATGATGTTAAGCAAATCCAGACCCTTAGGTGGAGAAATACCTGAAAGCATGATCAAAATTATCCCTGTGTTGTAACCATTTTTCTCTCATGTTTCCCCCTTGCATTAGAGTCTTCCCTCTGTCATTGTATAAAATATGGTTATGCTGCCACCTATAATTTTGCCTTTTGTGTAGAATAGACACCCATTTTTATTTGGTGAAAATTTAAATTTTATTTTGGAATATTTAATGCAAAAAGGTTAGATATGATACTAAAACTTTTAAAATTTAATATAACAATGCCTTACATGAAGTAATGATAAAACGTAATTACTATATTTGTAGGCATTTTAATATTTTTAGACCTTTTGTTTAGAAGAGCAGAAGGAAGTCCTAAATACATTCAGTATAAAAAATTTTAAATAATGAATTATTATTAACGGCTCCACTGTCCTATAATCTTGGGATTTTAAGTATATAGCACACTATATGATTATTTGCTTTTTAAGAATTGTGTAAATATTGTTACTTTTAAAACAAATTTTGATAAGGATTTTTCTAATTTATAATTGATGCCTTTTGGAAGGAGGTGAGTGTGAATCCTATCTAAACCATTGTTTAATTTTTCTTGCTCCGGCTTTTTTAATCTTTTGTACTTTTTGTATTCAATTTTTGCCATAACCAAATTTCTGGGTCATTTTTATTCTCCTGGATTCTGATATTTTGCCATTATTGGTTTTTACTGTTGATTTCACTGTATGTATTCACTGTAAATAGTTGATCTTGTTTGCATGGCTAAGCGTCGTCAACAATTATAGTAAGGTCCGTCTGTTCCGACAGATTTAAACAAACTTTCAGGTTAAACTTTATCGAACCAGAAATTAATTTTTTATGTATATTTGCTTTGTTAATATCTTGTATATTTTATCTTAATTACTAATAATAAATTCTAATAATATTAGTAGTCATCACAAACTTGATAGTTCAACTAGTGATACTATTGGTTTATTAATTATGATTACCATTATTATTAAATAATTATAAATATTGGCTTCAATATGTTATATTTGCAAGAATAATTGAAATTAAAACAATAATCAGGATAATAAATACTGAAATATGTATTCCATAATGATAATAATTGTAATTATAAATGCATAGAGGATTTCAGTAGTATGCAGAATACAAAAGGATAAAATTATGATGAATTACATTAAATTATAATCAAACAATTAATAGGAATCTTATTTTTTCAATTGATTTATTAATAACAAGAAATTAAATTTAATAATGTAAATTTTACTAATATAATATGTCATATAATTTTCATATTATATTATGAATGAAAAAAATGAAGAATTAAATTTCAATTTTAAATGCAATAATTATTTTATAACTGCTCAACAAAATTCTTACAATTTTTTACTGGTTCTGATAAAGTTAATTGCTGTACCTTTTAACCTTTAACCTTTATACTAGAATAAAATTAAGAACATTTAGATTATCATTATCAAAGGTGCTATGATTTGTAATGCCAATTTCAGAAATAATAAAATATGTACCATAGTTCCTTGTATATAACATAAGCCCACCTATTCTTTATATCCAATTTTTTTGTACCAGGGTTACCCCGAGCAAAACCCAGGTTACCATTTAAAGGGGTAACTCCTGACATAAAAAAAAAAAAAACTAGGACTCACATGAAGTGCTCAAAACTTCAATTGAAAAATCGATCATTATTTATTTGTGTGGAAAGGTGATTCCTTGGGTATAGGGGCATTCCCAACAGACCAAGTTTTGTGTTTAAGGTGGGTGAGCTTGGATCAGAGGACTTATTGTGCATACTGTACTATCTACTACAAATGTAACATTTTCTCCCTAAAGTTTATACATCAAATATATATCCATATCAATACTTTTGGAGGATCTTAATATTGGATAGCAAAAAAATATTTTTGAAAAATATCATGTACAAATGTAATTTGAAAAAAATTCAATGTTGTCATGATTACAAATTAAACTTTGACCTTAGAAAAATCAATATCCTGCTTGTATTTCATAGCTCCTTTAAATGTGATTAATTTTATACATTCAACGGGCAACATAATTATGCAAATGAAAACTTGTCTGTTTGTAGATAGACTCAGTTTTTCAATATATACACTTGGGTTTTTCTTTTGACTTTTTGACATCTTTTTTTGGTCATTAGTAACCATGGTTATCTACCTGGTATGTTCCCTAAATCCTGGCATTTAAATTCCTGTTTTTACACAATTTGTCTTTAGTTTCAAATTTTGCACTTTTTACGATTATTATAATTATCCTGATTATGGTTAATTATTATTATCTCTATTATGTTTTATTATATTTTTATTATCACTTTAATTATTATCGATATTAAAAAATACATCTTTTTATCTTTTAATATTTCACAGAATTTACATTAGTAATTGCAGAATTTACATATTACTATTTACTACTTGCCTTTAATGTTTATTGCCTTTAACTTGTATTTTAATTGCCTTGATAATACTATAATCATATTCAAATTTCCATTATGTTTTTTGTGTGGTGTTTTAATTATAACATTTGTTTATTAGTTAGTTACAACCCCAAGCTGGAATTATATATAAGCTGATAACTATTTATAATTAAAAGTCAAAATTATTGTTCCTTACATTTCTAAAGGTTTAGATACAAGAGAATGTTATTATGTAATACCATTATCTCCAATTATAATAATGTTTCATCCATTCAAAAACATAATTACATTTATTTTATTAATTACAATTTATATTCTTGTGTAAGGAATAGAATTACCTTAAATTATTTTAAACCATTGAAATGCTTATAATTTCTAAATTAATATAATTCTTTGCTTGTGATTTTAAACATAATCTTTGTTGAAAATCCAAAATTTATACATATTTAAATTATATTATATGTTTAAGTTTTATTAAGCGTGCGATTTAAATTGATAGTGAATAATTATTTAATGTAGACTTTTAGACAGACCTTGCTGATAAACAGTGCTGCACTATATGTCATCCTTGTTTGCTTTTGTCATAATTTCTGCCTGAATCATTCGTTTTCATGTTTGTCCAAACATTCACTCGTCTTTCCACAGCTTTCCGGGAGAAGAGCCAAAGTCAAGGTAGATGTTGCCGCTTGACTTATTTAATTTCCTTATTCATTCATATTTTTACTTCAGTTTTTTGGGGTTTTCTTTCTTTCTTTCTGTTTTTTTCGGGATCGTTTTGTTTGACTGGATTGGACAATGTCATGAGAAACAGGTTCTGATGTAATCACATTTGGATTTTAGAATATGGTTTGAAAAATGACAACTTAAACTGGGACATATATGCACTCTCATTTTTGACAGTTGTCCATTTACAGATTTTTAATTTAATGTTAATTACTTTAATAAATTTCACTTTTTTGTAATTTTACCCTTTTACAAATTTATGTTCCTTAAGCCCCGTTCAAACTATCCAATTTTATTTGTGAAAAACATGTGACAAGCCTAAATATAGTCATGATGACATCACATCATGACAATATATAGGCACATCATGACCATATATGGGATACAACAGTTTTTATGAAAGGAAATTTGATAGTGTGGACAAGACTTTAAGGTCTGTTCAGAGTATCTATATTTATGTAGTAAATCCTCTGACTTAAATGTGATATTATTTCCTATATATCACAGATATTTTTCACAAAAAAACTTAACACCTGTAAAATGGACAGAGCTATGGATATCTGTTAACTGGCAACCCGAGCCAGGGACCATGTTCGCCATCCCAATTTTCAACTGATAACCACTATAAGACCAGGTGTTTAATACAATTTTCATCTGATATCCACCAAAAGCCCAGGTGTTTACTACGTCCACCTGTTTTCTATTGACATTGTCCAGCTTGGATCTTTCAGCTGCCTGCCTATTATTAGCCTCAAACACCTGCTTGAAATGGCTTCATCATAGTAGCATATAGAATGTTTGCTGCCAGCTTTTATTGCATATCTCCATGAGATCTATCATGAAGTGCACCCTCTTGTGATTCTGTTTCTCATCTTTACTCCACTTGGACTTGTACTACTCTTTATTGACTGAAATATACTTTTGATTAACAATGACTCATAAATCTATCAATTTCTTTCATGAAAATGAAGATTTATGTGAATTAATGAATATTGAATATGGATTGGATGCATATATGCCAAATTTAAATTTATTCTAATCCAAACAAGTCATAAATTGGTGCATTTTGTATATCTCTATGCACCAAATATGAGGAAATTCACTGAAAACTGGAACAAATATATTGGCTTTGTTTTTGTTAACCTCATTTGTCAACTACATGTCATATAAATGTCATTGTCAAGCCAATACGGTAGTCAAGTTTGAGCTTGCAAAATAATAAAATGATAGATTTATGTTTTTGTCAAAAGTCCATTTTCTGCCAATGGTTAAAATGCAAGTTTATAACCATTATACATTTTGGTATTTGCTCATGTTAAATAATAGTCAGTTAGTACTCTTTTCCTATCTTTATTATAGAAACAATTTGTATATATACTGTTATATATCTATGCACTTTCCATATATGAGACACATTAAATGTATATACATAAATAGATTATATTAATGCATTTATATGTGTATAATGTCAATGTTTTAACTTATTTCAGGCATAAAACCAATTCGTTGTGTGTTCCATATACATAGACACAGTTCCACAAAAGTGAAATTCCTATTTATGTATATACTATATGTGTAAAAGCAGTTCCCTAGAAAATTCCTTGATACAAACCTATGTATTTTTCAGAGCTAGTGATTGTCAAAAATGTCATTTGACCCTTGTGCTAGAAAATGTTAATATTTGACCTAGGCTTGGCTCAGGCACAAATGCAAATTGGGATCAAAACAAGGCTTTAGATTAGAAAATCAAAATGTAATAATTAGAATAATAAATGAAATGTTCTTGTTAATTAAAAGTCTTTAATAATTACTATCGAAACATATTGACAGTGTGATTCATGTATTTTAGTAAGTTTTGTATTATTCGAATTTCCTCATCATTATCATCATTATCATCATCATCATCATCATCATCACCATCAGCAGCAGCAGCAGGCTGTCAGGCCTCCAAACTCTATTCTTGTCTATTCTTCCCCAGATTTTCCCAGTTAACTCCAAGCTCTTTCTGGAAAGGTCACTCGATCTCTTGTTTTGGTCTTCCTCTTTTCATATTTTATTTAAAAATATGCACCACTTTAATGGTTTAATGAATTTTATTTATTTAAAATTACTTTAATTGGGATTTTTTGTCCTACCTGAGTCTAGCCTAGTTATAGTTTCCCCCTTATAGAAAATGTATGGTGAGCAAAATATTTGATATGAAATTTATCTCTACCTTGTTTTTGTTGTTTCTATGTGCTGTATAAAGTAGAGCAATAGGCCTACATGTATCCATTATCTATTACTGATTCCCAGTTTTTGTACATTACCAGATTTACCCTTAAAAATGTTTCCAGTAGAATCCTTTTTGATGTTTATTTCCATTTTGGCTGTTGAAGGCCATTTTTATGTTTGTTTTGTGCCAATCACTCCTTTGGTTATCTTAATACTTCAAAGATGAAATTTCATTTTGTTGTAAATATAAATTAAATCATTAATTAGAATTAATTCAGTTTAATAAATAGTATTCTAACAATTGGAAAATGATAGGTTCGATTTGGCCTAGATAATCGGTTGATTCAATTAGCCTCTTATTATAATATAGATTTTCTTTATACCTTTTTTTAGAACTTTAGCTTTTTAAGAAAGTATAATACATACTCCAAGTATTGAAATACACGCCATCGTGTTGGGATTCAATATTTCGACATTAATTATGTCATCATCATTCCTGATCAGTGGACCTTTCGGTTTAGCTTTTTACATTACCATTAAGATAAAAATTAATTGGGTGTTGAATTATGGTTTGTGTAGGAGGCATTCCATCTTTACGTCTATTGATTTGTCCTCAAATCATTCTGTTTTTTATTATTTGTTATTTCACTAATAATTGCAATGTAAACATGTTGCTTTATAGTTACACTTTTTTATTTACTATACTAAAAATAATCTGGTAGTTTCTAACATTGTAAATGATGTAGCATACATTTACAATTTTCCACATTGTTTTACTATCAACAGTGTCACTTGGAATTCATAATAGTATTGTTAAGTCATTTTGGTGCCTAGGCAGTGAAAGTTACCCATATCATAGTGTTCAACATCACTTTTCATCCCTCAATTTAACATACAAATATCACAGTTGCTATGGAGACATGGTTAGTATAGAAACATTGTGGCTGCTATGGAAATACCATAGGTTGTTATAGGTACATCATGGTTCCTTTGGATACATGTACCCTGCATTTACTGTGCAAGCAAAACCATTTATTATAAATTCTTTCTGGATTACTGTAGTACAAAAGATGCGTTTTGAAACCCCCTTTGGTAATTGGTAGTAAAGTCTGGATTCATCATACAATGCAGCCCAACGGAATTTATTGTTGGAGACCTTTTAGGTTGTTGTTAGAATGTTAAACATATGTAATATTCTATGACACAACTCCACGACACAGACATGTCACGTCAGCATTTAACTCAAACAGACCAAACACGACAACAAATAACGTTAGGCTGTGTCGTACGACACTGTCCGAGTTGGCGTTTAGACCCTTGAGTCAAACTCATTCTGACTAACAAGCTTGTGCTCTGACTTTTAATCTGGTTATGAGAGATGTTCCAGTTCCAGTACCTCGCCATTCAATATGTTCAATCAGTACACTCGCATCGTCTTCTATTTTTTGGTCGGTTCACACTAATATTAATAAACACACTAATATTAATAAAATATCACTTTCTTTGTAACAATTTTTTATATTATTAAACACCTTTGGTGTTCACCCCTAAATTTATTATCATATTGATTTTTTTCATTCTGTAGCTGGAGCCTCCAACCAAAAAGGTCTGGATAAGGCAGTCTGTGTTGGTCTTTCTGAATTTTCTTGTCTTGTCCTCCATTTAGATAGTGTAGATTGCTTATATATTCTGTAAGCAAGGTGTACATACAAATATGTGTATATATGCTTGGTTGTAAGTATTTTAATATGGCTAGTGTCTTAAAATTTAACTATTTTTATATTTCATTCAACTAAACCTTACTGCCAATCTATTTGTCTTCCTCAGGTGTAAGCCCACCCTATTCAAGCCCACACTGGGTATAAGTAGTACCTTAAAGCCCCATTCCCGGCAAAATTTCACTAAAAACTGACTTTTTTTTAGAAAATATGCATTTGCATTTCTGCAATTATTATAAATCATGGACAAATATTGGCATGGCATGAATCTTAGTTTTACTTAAAGCCCCATTCCCGGCAAAATTTCACTAAAAATGACTTTTTTTAGAAAATATGCATTTGCATTACTCCAATTATGGAAAAATATTGGCATGAATTTTAGTTTTACGCAAAAGAATAAATAAAATGAGAAATACAGACTATTTCTCATAAAATATTACCATTTTCTCGACGAATTCATCGTTACTAGGCAAATTCAGAGGTTGTAGATCGCATCCACTGGAATACTCTCGCTTTTATGTATACTTTATACAGTCAATAAAGTGCGCCCTCTCTAATGAGATTACTTTTTGCACTTCGAAACTCGCACAATGCGGTCGTTCGGTTAGGCTGAGATATGTTTATTTAAGGTCAAAATCTCAGTCAGAATCAGTTTTTTAACATATTTGAAATAATTCCTATGAAATATTATATTTCACAAGCGTCAATACTAGCAACGGAAAATATCATGTCGGCCGTTTTTATGTGTGATAACAGAACCTAAAATCGAGGTAAGGCTAGGCCTAGCCAGCCAGCGTGGGATAGGCTAATGTTTTCGGCGCCTACGATTCAGTCTCCACCAGAAGCTGTCTCTTATACACATCTAGATGTGTATAAGAGACAGTATATACAGTATGTTTAATATATTCATATACACTATTCTTTATACATACATACTCTACATTTTTTTATTAATATTTTACCCTACTTGCAGTTCTGTGGCATATATTAGTCAGAATATCCTACTGGTCATTCACTATACATTTCCAGATGCTCAATATATATAATAAATCTATAAGTTGTATGCATCATGGAGGTATTATAGTAAACTATAATACCTCCATATGTTTGTATGCATTTTCTCTACTGACAATAATATTTTAATCCAAGTTTCCTTTTCATCTTTTAATGTTTCCTCTTTTGAGGATTTCCAATTATAAGATTAATTATCTAGCAAAATACATTCTTCCTTTTCCATCTGTTAGTATTTTATCTTGTTTAGTAAATAAATAGTTCTAGAACCTTGTCTCATTATTTTTAAGTAGTATTGTGTGAATTGAAGTTTAAGTGGTTCAATTTATTCAAATTGTTTTAGGGAAATTACACCTTTTCCCTTGGTTTTAATTTTATTATTATTATGAGTGTTGTACTAATAAGTATTGTGAGTTTTATTTTGTGAATGAAACCAATTTGTGATTCTTTTCATTATGATTGTTTTTTAGGATTTCTATTGTAATTTATACATATAGTATAATAGTAATACAGATAACAAATTTAAAAACATAAGAGTTTATTGATAATTATTTATTTTTCTTTCTTCTGTGGAAATTGTGTAGGTGCTGTTCAAGCGAAAGCAGGTTAGGCACGCCCCTGAAAATGCATGCAATTAATTTTTTATTTATTCACCAACTTTTTGACACCTGCATTGTGCATATGAAGTGTTATGCAAATGAAGTGTTATGCATATTTTTGATTTTAATGAATTTTACTGGTTAATATTTTGACTCATGCATGGTTCCATTTTTATAAATTTAATGTTTATATATTTTGGTTGCTAACTAAATTTATAATAATTATTAATTGTTACTTAAATATGATTTTATGCATAATCTATTAAGGTATGTCAAAGGGTTGGTTGAGCTTGATGGTTTTTTACTTAAAACCTTCTTTAGCATTTGATTTATAATCTGTTTTTGGCTAGTATTCAAATTCCTTTAAATGTATACACTTACAGAATTATTTTGCCTTATTGCAGAAAATAGTTGTTTCAGTTTTTAATAACAATAACCCATGGAATGAAACTTATATGCTTGAACACTTTCTTTCGAGAAGAATAAGTAAAGTAATAGTAGAGCACTGTCTTCCCATTAGACATTTAAGCCATTCATCTGTGCACTTTAAAACTGACTGATCTAGAACTTTTTTGCTGGGCTGACATATGTAGCACACAAGGACCTACAGTCTGAAGAGGGCGGAACTTGGTCAAAAGAGGAAGGTTGTGGGGTGTTCCATTTCCTATTGTAGGTATATTGGGGCATAGCCCCCCTAAAATCTCATTTTAATCTCTTATCTAAATGGTTCACACTATTGTTAGTGACTTTTGGCTGCCCTTTTTGCCATCCCTGGATCCACTATTGACACCCTCGAAGTTTATCTTCCATCTTCAGTCTCCACCAGAAGGGCTCTATTGGGACACTTTTATGACTTATCCTTAGTGAGTTTCACAATGAAGAAAACCAATCAACCATCTTTATGTCGTTATAATATTGCAACCATGATTTAGCGATGTGTGTACAGCTATAGAGGATGTGAACATAGTGTAGATGTTTGAGACTTAAAAATTATAGTAGAGTTTTGTGTAGTGGGATCAAAATAGATTTACGGTAACATTAGATTATCAGCAATCACATGCTAGGAGCAGTAATAGAAGACAAACAACACTTTACAGTCTAACAAATTTTATAAAATAATAGGCCTAATTTTATATACCGTAATACCACAAGCTATTGTGTATTAGACATATCAGTTTTTTTGCTGTGTTGCATCGTTCATGTAATAAACGATTGTAAAGGTGATTTTAGATTGTTTAGAATGTTTTATGCTATAATTTTTATATATAAACTCATTACTATTTCTATAGTATATCATCAATAATGTATTTTTTTTATTACATTACTAATATATTACATCTAGGCCTATTAATTAGTAATGATCTAACATGCAGATAAGTTGGTTTTATTCCCTTATTTTGAAATTTTTTAGTACTATAATTATATAGGTAAAAGGTCATTTATCTTCTTCATTAGTGTTAGTTCAATTTTAGAATTTCAAAAGTCTACATTTTCAAATTTTATTTTGTGGTTATTGTCAGTGTGGTGTTTTCTGATTATCTTGGTTGAAGTCTTTTTATATATCGTTATATATTTTTGTATATCTTTATAATCAGCGATGGATCCAGGTAGAGAAACATGACTTTAGAAAATTCTAATTTCTTTACTAATAAAGATTCAAAAACAACTCCTGTGTTTTAGAAACCTGTATCCATCACTGAAATTGTGTTTTAACTTTTGCTGTGGGGTTTTTTACAAAGTGTTAGTGACAATTTGTTAGTATTTAGATGTTTGATTCTTAAAATAATATAAGTTTATATAATACTATATTTACTGTGTGTCCTTTCCTTGGTATTTTTATCTGATAATGGTAAGATCAGTTTTAAGTATATTTTTTAAGAATATAAGATAAAAAAAACTAAAAAGAAAAATACAATATAATATATTAAAATTTATCTCAATTAAATTGATTTTCAATTAGAAAATGGTCGGCTATCCACTACCTAAGCCTCATATAGAGCATCAATAGTCCCAAATGATCAACCATATATTCCCCAATCCTCATATAGAGAGTTGGGTATAGAGCACCAAGTGTATTATATGGTCAGCTCTCCACTAAAGCCTCATAAAGAGACTTGGGATAGAGCCCCAAGGGTCCCAAATGTCCAGCTGTACATTCCCCAAGAGCATCAAGGGTCCCAAATGATCAGCTCTTCACTACCTAAGCCTCATAAAGAGACTTGGGATAGAGCCACAAGGGTCCCAAATGTCCAGCTCTACATTCCCCAAGAGCATCAAGTGTCCCAAATGATCAGCTCTTCACTACCTAAGCCTCATAAAGAGACTTGGAATAGAGCCACAAGGGTCCCAAATGTCCAGCTCTTCATTCCCCAAGAGCATCAAGTGTCCCAAATGATCAGCTCTCCACTACCTAAGCCTCATAAAGAGACTTGGGATAGATCCTCAAGGGTCCAAATGTCCAGCTCTACATTCCCCAAGAGCATCAAGTGTCCCAAATGATCAGCTCTTCACTACCTAAGCCTCATAAAGAGACTTGGGATAGAGCCACAAGGGTCCCAAATGTCCAGCTCTACATTCCCCAAGAGCATCAAGTGTCCCAAATGATCAGCTCTCCACTACCTAAGCCTTATAAAGAGACTTGGGATAGGGTCCCAAATGTCCAGCTCTTCATTCCCCAAGAGCATCAAGGGTCCCAAATGATCAGCTCTCCACTAAGCCTTATAAAGAGACTTGGGATAGACCCACAAGAGTCCAAATGTCCAGCTGTACATTCCCCAAGAGCATCAAGGGTCCCAAATGATCAGCTCTTCACTCTCTTAAAATAACTTATTGCAACCCGAGGGTCCTCATAAAGAGACTTGGTTATAAAATATTAAGGTTTATCCAATGATTTGGTTAATTAAGTGGATCTTCTTTGTTTTTATAGTGTGGAAACAAAGCCATACCACATTATTAGTTTCACATCACAGCAATATCAGGATGCATTACACTAGTTGCGATGTCAAATGATATTGAATAATGTACATTCTTGGAATGAAAGATAAACAGTTATTATTGCATATATATATATATATATGTGTGTGTGTGTGTGTGTGTGTAGGGTCTATATATATATATATATATATATATATATATATATATAGACATATTGAAATGATTTATATATTATATAAGATTATTTAATTATGAAATTTATTTATTATTTATTACGTTTACATTTATTTACGTTTTTAATTTTTTGTCTGCAAAACAGCAAAAAGAATATCTAGTAAGTTTTCCATTTAGTTTTTATTTTGTTGTTAGTATTTTTTGTTTATGAAGAAGCCTTCCGTCCTAGCTATTTTTATCTTTTCTTATTGTGGTGACAGTTCCTGCTTGTATAATATGCTATTTATATATTGTTTGTTTAAAGTAAAGCAAATTGCAATTATTGTATATAATTTTTTTTAATGGAAATAAGGGATTTGATTTTAAGTATGTATTGGAATTTAACTGGTTTCCAGAAAGATCAAATAGTGTATTTGAGAGTTGAATTTTACCTAATATTTACTTTATAAATTTCATGTGAAGGATGTGTAAAAACCTTATTTTATATATACACCATTTTAGCTAAATTTTAAAAAATTTTAGAAAATTTCCAATAACCTGGCAACTACCACTGGGAGACATCCAGAGCCCTAGCAATTTTGCTGTACGTACTTTCCAATGTTTATCTGTCCTGTGACCAGTGAATGACTTTCTTGTTGTAGGCATGATTTCGCCTTTGTTAGTCTTTGAAAATAAAATGCCAAAAAAAAAATAGGGGCACATAAAACATGTTTTTGGTTGTAGAATACTCAAAAGAAGATATGTGTGTGTGGAAAAAAGAAAAATTTGCGGACAACAACGCGCTGTGGCTGGATGTCCCCCCAGTAAAAAGTTGTGCGACCCGATAAAATGGTGTGTACTGAAATATATAGTTGTTAGGATTATTTTTTAAAAGGTTCACAATTCTCAGTTAAAACATGAAGTATTTAAGTTATTTTTTTGAATAAGCATTTAATTTTTTCCTTCAGCTCTACTAATGGCTTTGGGTTTTGACTTGTGCGTTATTTTAGTGTACAAAGTGTTATATTACTTATGTTTAGTGATTTTTTAACATAGAATAGAACTGCTGTAATATTTCTTGGTATAAGTCTGTGTAACAACTTTTAGCTTATGTTTTTACCCTTTGTCCATTATTTTTTTGTGTTTTATTAACCTTTAATATCCAACTCCTTTATTCATCAGACTTAAATCTGTATTGCAGGTTTTTTTGACTTGTTCAGATTTAGTGTAAGTTAATAGAAAAAGTTTTATATTATTCTAATAACTTTTCTGTTGCTTTAAATGTATATATTTCTTTTGGTGTTATTTCCATTAAAAGCAAAACCTCAAGCAAAGCAAAGTTCGGAGGTCGAAAAACGGCCACAAACAGTGCCGCCATCGGCTATACCTGATCCAGAAGTGTTACAAGCCTTTAGTCATTTAGCAGCCCAAGGTAAAATCGCAATTAAGTGCTGTGTTCACCAGACTTGCTGTGTCAGTTTTCTAATAGCCTAGTCAGGGAGATGTTTTTCAGTTGTGGGCCTGAGAAAGAAAAGCACATAATTTACTCTAGCTAGCAATGCCGCTTAATGCCTCAGATATATATATTGGATGATCTGACAAATTTTCCAAATGATATCCACTGAAAACTCATCAAACGAAACAATATACTAAATGCTAGTGAAAGTGTTGTGTTTTGCAAGCTGTGTGTTATTGTTTTGCCCACCCATTCAAGACCACCTTTGAGACTTGATTAGAGGGGTAGCTTTGTGCTGAAAGATTAAAAATTGTTAGTTGAAAAAGTAGTCTCAAATTAGGTCTTAAATCAAAGGTATACTGTTATCATTTGGGTAATTCTGATTCATTTGGTTTTCTTTTGGTTATTTCCTTTTCATTTGGTATTTTTTTATAACAATTGATTCATATAAATTATTTTAATTGCCCTAAAGAAATTTAGATGATTCTTTTTTTTACAATTTTTCACTGCACTATCCAATTAATTTGTTACCAAATGCCTGAGCTATTTAGATAGGGTAGAAAACTGTAGCATTTTTTGTTTTTTGAAGATAATAATAGAGTCAGTTAATTCTAATTTGGTTTTTTCTGATGCAAATTTAGTTTTTGAGGCATGGTTACAAACTTGATTGAAGGCCTATTGAATTTTTAAATTTAAAACATTTTAAAATTAGGGCCTACCTATTTTTTTAATCATATTTTGTAGAGAAAGTTTTTGAATTTTTCATTCCTTTGGAAGATGGCAATGTTGTTAGCATAGTTGTTTCCTTGTTTATTTAAATTAATTTTAATAAAATATGATATCTTGCTTATTATTTTTTCAAGATTTGACGTGTGATTTTTAAATTTAATTTAAACCAGTTTTGATAGCATTTTTAGGAAACAGCATTGTCTCTAACCACATTAATTTCCTCTGTTATTTAAATTATTTAAAAACAATTTTTTCCTTGTTATCTTCTCCATCAAAAGTAAAACCTCAGGTAAAGCAAAGTACTCAGGTTGAGAAACCGCCTCAAACAGGACTTCCAAAAGCTCCAGACCCAGATGTTTTACGTGATCTTAGTCAATTAGCAGCACAAGGTAAAAATATAATTTGCGTGCTGATGTGGGCACAAGGCTTGTCGTGGGATTTGTTTGATCTTATTCTCAATTGTAGGCCTTAGGTCTTAGATTAACAAAAAAGCCTAGCATTGATACTTAACACACTAGTTAAACAAATGTAGAGAGAAATACTACTACTTATTTCAGCCATATTAATAAAATTAATATAAATGATTTATTGCCAGAGCACAAATTTGGATGGTTATTTTCGCCTTGCCCTATAATCTCCTGATTTATCAAACATTATTTGATTAGTAGAGCTCTATTTATTTAAGTGGAATATGCAAAGTAATACTGATATGGGATTTTTGTTTTCGCATTATTTGTCTCTAAGTATGCATACTGTAAACATTTTCACAAGCACAATATAACTTAAGACATTAACTAGTAATGCTTTTGAATTTACTAGGACTAATTTGTAAATCCTATGTTGTAGAATTACGTCTTCATTGCAGTTTTATTAGGTCTTGTGTCATGAAATCTTACTAAAACATATCTTAAAATTTGGCTTCTGCTAAGTTGGGACCCATGTCAGAAGACAGTCAACCTTCAACTGTAGTATTATTATAATATTTTAAAACATGTTGGTTCTTGGGTTTCTCAATTATTATATTATGACTAATAATATATTTTGTGTGTGTATTTTTGTCAGGGGCGGTACAAACAAGTTCTTGGCTATTGTACTTCCCCTGTTCCATACAGGTGTAATTCGTACTTTAGGTGTATTGTGTCTCTTGAATTAAAACTTCTTGTATTGTATTATAGTAATTTTTTTTTAATTAAATTTTATTAAATTTATATCTCAAATGATATAATCCCAAGTACCGTATTATTTTTAACTTGAGTTTCCTCACATTTTTTTTGTTTATTTATTTATTATTTTTCATAATACTGTAATTATATAAATTTTTATTGTAAGTTTAGATGTTGCTATGAACAAAAGATTTGTTCATTTATTTCCTATGCAACAGTTTTGTCTTTATAAGCACATGTAGTACAGTTAACACTTTCTGTATGCTCAGAGCCTTTTCTGCTTTTTTAGTAACACTTTCACGCTCTGCAAACAATACTAACAATTTATATTTAACTAATATTCTTTTTAAAAATTTATTGCGGTAAGTATAATAATAATATTTATTCGACAAATACAGTATACAGAAATGAAACAACTTGGTTTGCCCAGATAGTGCATTGGGCGAAAGCTTGAACAGGTTTTGCTGCCTATCCTTCGTGTATTATGAAATACAATAGTATAATCTGAAAAATTAATCAGATACATAAAAAGGTATAGAATGCTAAACTAATTCATGTTAAAAAAAGAGGTAAGAAATTCATTATAGCATCATTTCTTTTAAGAGCTTTAACATTAGTAGTAACGGAGCTACTGTGACGGGAGGTGTCCAATTTTCTCTGGGGCTCACCCATTTAGTAGTGTCACCCATTTAGTAGTGTCACCCATTTAGTAGTGTCACCCATTTTGTGCCCTTCTCATTTAGTGTTCTCTCTTATTTGGTCCCTTGTATATACATTCTGTTATTTAATGCCCGTGCCCTCACTATTTAGTTGTCTCTCCCATTTAGGTACTTTATTAATAATGGAGACCTTACCAATTTTGGATATATTTATGATATCAACAATTAAATTTAGGGTCTCACTGGCATCTCAACCAATTAGGAACTACAATTTTGTGTCTCACCAATATAGAGGACCTCATTTGTGTCTGACCCAGAATGAAACCTCACCTACAGAGTTTTAGTGAAATGAAAATATAATGTATATACTACCAGAATGCATAATTGAAAGCCTTAACCCATAGTAAAATTTTCCCTCTAAGGTAAGTAAAAACAGAAAAAGTGTAGAGTAATAACACTGAAAAATGTGTTTAAAGTTCTATTTCAGGTTCTATTTCTAATCATATTTTTGTATCAGTTTTTAAGGAAAATGATATTAAATAAATGTTTAACTCATTAGCTGGAAGATCATCCAAGAAAGATGACGGCATCAAAGAATCCTCAGATGGCAGCACAATTGAAGATGATGATGTCAGAGGTCAGGCTCATTTAAATGTTGTTTATAAACCAATCACCATTCAGCTACAGAAAATTAACCAATAAGCAACATGACACAAATGTACATAGGTATATTTTATGCAAGCTAATTAATTACAGACTTTTGGCTGCTAGCTCCAACAGCCTTGATCGCACAAATGTGCCGGATCCAGAAATTTAAAATAGAGGGGGCTCAGGAAGGGATTTTCATGGATAGAGGGTCCACCCACCTCATCCCCAAACAAGAAAATGTATTATTATTGCACCGGAAATGGCACTCGCCATTTTTTATAATTTTGAAGAATTTTGGGTGGGCTAGTCATTGGCTGGCTCGGCCCCATTGAGTCCGGCACTGGTATTGAAACATCATCTTTCATACTTCAAAGATTTGAATCATAGACAGCTTTTTTTTTTTACTTTCAGCTCGCAAACAAGAAATTATCAAGCTTACAGAACAAATTATTGAAGCAATCCAAAAGGGAGATTATGAAACTTACACGTAAGTTAATAAAGAAGCTTTACATCTCAATTTCTGCAGATGCGCTATTCCAGTCACTTTCCTGGTATGGCCATCAGTGCAGTCAGGTTGACACATGGCCAATGCGTACCTCACAATTTGGTGTTGACGAACCTTGTCCACTTAAATCATGGTGGGATGGCATGTTGTGAGGGGGAGTTTTAGAGATTCAGAAAAGCTCAATATGTAAAATATTAATATTTTCATTTAAGTAAATTATTTGTGAACTTGTACATTTTGCAGCCAAATTTGTGACCCCCATTTGACCTGCTTTGAGCCTGAGGCTTTTGGAAACTTGATTCATGGCATGGATTTTCACAAGTTCTATTTTGACAATGGTTAGTATATGTTTTTTGGCTCTAGCTTACAATTAATAAAATGCACTTGTTTTTCTCTGCTCTTTTAGATACTGAGTCAATAACACAAAATGAGTTCTAGTTTCTGGGCTGTATTCCTAATGTTTTTATTTTACATTCAGGGATAAAGTCCATGGTTACAATTTTGGGTTCATCCTTGATAAAAGAAAAATATGTTGCCAACAAAAAATATTGACCATATATTCCTAGAAATTGTAGGTTGGTTGGGCAAAGGGTAGCACAAAGTTTTGTTCTGGCCTAAAATTAACATCACCATCAGCCACATCTTTGTCATAAGTTTGTTTCTTGTTTTCTTTTTAGCAAATAAAGGTAACAAAGCACGTAATACTATTGTAAATCCTTATGTTCACCTGATCGGAGAAGATACAGCAGTCATAGCTTATGTACGACTTACTCAATTTATTAACAGGTATGTTTGCTCTTAATATTCCCATTTATTTTTATGTATAAATTGTCTGTATTCAATTCTCAAAAAACCCTAAATAGGTTTGATTATATTTTCATAGTTCAAAAGATCAAATTTGATGTTTTGCCCTACCTGATGTGTTATTGTACTGAATATTCAGTATATTCCCAAATACTTGCAAACTTGTTTCAGTACGATAACATGTCAGGTAGTGCAAAACATCACAAAGTTGATATTTCCTGATGCAAAAACATCGAAATAAGATCAAAATTGGTATCAGCTTTCAAAAAGACAATGATTAAAAATATTTGCTACTAATTCTACACTTAACGTTTGAAAATATATTATCATTCCAACATGCATGCTTTGGGCAACTAGTTCTACCTTGTTGCTTGCCGTTGTTTCAATTTCAATTTTATTCAGTATTTGATTGGCAGCAAATAGCTGAATTGCATCAAATTTACAATTTAAATTTCTGTACACTAAAAATACCTAACAATAAAAAACAATACAATTCAATACACACAAAATACATTTTGATTAAAATTATCAGGTACTAAGTTATTAATAATATTGGACTGGATTATTGGATTGGATTTATTTGGTGTTAACACCAAGGATAGCCCAAGAAAGTCTAGAAGACGACTTATTTCCAGTGGGGTCCTTCTTGTGGTGATTGGGCAGTACACCGGGAGACAATCCCCTACTTTTTCTGAAGAGTGTACTGCTTTCTTTAACATGCACATGGGCCATATATGCACACGGTACCAACGGCTTAAACGTCTCATCCGAAAGACGGTGTGCTATTGTAACTTTAGCCCTGCATCTGAAACACAAGGAGAGGCAGTGATCGGAATTGACCCGGGGACCTAGAGATCTCCACGGTTTAGCGCACACACGGTGGCTACCACCAGATTAGCCGACTGAGCTAAGCTGCTCTTAATATTGTTTGCAGTTGTAATTGTCAGTAAAGTTTGACGCAAGTGCCACCAGCAACTATTTGAGGTCTGTCGTGTTGAGTTCTGCAAGTTGCAAGGGTTACATAAGCTTAGATTAAAGTACCTGAAACACATGACTGCTTTAATTACCTCATGAAAGAATATGTTTTTTAAAAAAGTTATTTATGATTCTTAAACGTAGCTCCGGTCTACCCGTGACCCAACAATCTGAGGAAACCAGGGTGTATCAGCGCAAGGAGTCTAAATGGCAGCATATCCACTTTCATAGGTCTGGCTCACCAAGCATGCCTGCTAAATAGACAAGTGTGGCGGACAGGGATGACTGCCCGGTGATTCTTGCTTGTGGATGTCGAATCCTCTTTTTCCCATGCCAACTGCTTGGGGAGAGTCTCGGAGAGAACATGTTGGATGGAAGAATTCTTCAACATTGCTTTCTCGAGAGATATTTTGAATCTATAAACTGTTCTTATCTGTACAGTTTTGGAAAATTTTGGCCAACCATGAGTAATGACAAAAAATATATATATACAGAAAAAAAAATGTGATTTGAAAGGTAGAGTATTTTGTGATGGTTTGGCAAGTGCTAATATGGTGTTGGTCTTTGAGGACTTTTTGAGGGTCCACAAAGCTCCATTCTCCAGTGTCTTAAGAACCTTTGGTTCCAAAAGATCATTTTTGTGCATCATAGTATCTTTAAACACGATTCACAATAACAGTTTGGGAAACAAACAAAATAACAATAATTATTTGATTTCAAAATATTTCCACATCAAGCAATTTTTTTGGCCAAATGGGAGAGAAAGAAGTGTTAATTTTCAAGACGTTCTCCAGACAAGAATTACAATTTAATTACACTAAATAATAAATTGTTTTTATTAAAGTATATATTGTCTTTTTCACATAGATATAGCCAGCAAGTATCATGGTACTGATGCAAAATTCTATTCAAATTTTGGAATTGCTTTGTAGATGAGGAATATAGTTCTTGTTGTGTATAGTTTGGTATGTAGGGTAATTGCTTATAATTGCAAAAGAGAATTTTATTGTTATCTTTATGTCATTGTCTTATAAAAATAAACATTAAGAAATGTTTTTTAAATATGGGAATCAAGTTGCGCTTTTGAATTTGTGAAATTAAACAAAAAAAACTATAAAAAAATATGTTGAATTTAATTCCCTTATTAATCAGTTGATTAAATAATCTATTATATTTAATATTATTATTATTAACTTCATATAAATGGTTTTCATGTATGTGCCTGTTGCTAGGGAAGCTATTTGTAATCAAAATCTCATATAATTTCTGATTTTAACAAGATTTAGATATTAATTCCCATCAATAGTGCTTTATATAAATATTTGTTTTCTGTGTCATACCCAGATCTTGTGACTTTCGACTGTTTTTATGTGAGCCAATGATAACATTTATCCTCTTTCTGATTTTGAAAATGTTGGGTTATATAAAATAAGACCAGAAAGGTTTAAATTGTTGGCATGGATTTGCTAGGTTATATCAAGCATTGGTGATGGTACAAATAAAAAAAATATATTTTTACTTCTCTCTTAATTTTAATTTTCTGACCTCTTTATTAAAGTTGATCATTGTCAAGGTTATAGACATTTTAAATTTAGGATCCGGACTGACTGTACCCATAGATCTTTACCTAATGATTTGATTTGAAATCAACTTAATTGGGCCAAATTAAAAAATGATTCATCATATTTATAGTAATAATAATAACATTTATATACAGTAGGGCACCATTATTATCATATCATCATATATATTTCTGTCACAAAGGTAGCCACAACAGACACAAATTCTATAGGATTTCTGTGTTTTTTAACTAATAAAAAGAAACAAAAGGCAGCCAATAATTTAGATACCATAAGTGACAAGAATCATTTTTTTCTTTGGCCTGACATTGAAAGATATGTTCCCAGCAACAGGAAAGAAAAGAATTGAACTGTTGTTTGGTATATATTCAAAATAATGTATGTTCATATATTTGTATACTAATTATGCTCAGTAATTATTAATCCAGCCTAAAACTAAAAAAGGATTCAAATGTATTTGATGTTGCCATCATTATTATCAACTATGCACGTAAATTACAGTTATTTTTTCGCATTTATGCACTCACGAAAGGTGGTTAATTTTACTCCAGTGTAAACCATTCCTTATTAATCATCTAAAAAGAGTGTGTATTCACTTGGTTAAGAGGTCCTACACTGGTTTGATTGTGTATATGTCTCATGTACGCATTATGACATTTTATGTACGGCATCCATTTGTTTAGTTTATTGGAACATTTTCACAAACATATCGTAGTAATATATAAATTTTATATCCTGCTTTGTATGTTTTTTTTTTTACTTTACAATTTTACTGTTTAATGGATGATGCATATCCATTGTGTGGAATATCACAGAAAACAGAAGTAATTTGTTATGGCAATATATTGGTGTGGACTCTTCTTTCGGTTGTCAATTGACTTTGAAGATGTCAAAGGTCATGACATGCAGGTTAAACAGTATGACCCTGTGAATGTTAATAAGTATTCTTTGCCTTTGCAAAACAACTTACAGGAAACTTGGTATGATGTGATAATAAGTGTTTTATTGCCCAAGCAAAAAACAAATTTGTTAGTATGTCTTAAATTCATTAAACAAAGTACTATTCAGTGGAAAATCTGATTTTTATGTCTCAATTGTTAAATCTGCGTAGAATATTTCTAACTTTTGAATGAGAGTCACAATAATATTAAGAAATGTAGCTTCATTGATGAACAAAATGTGATTTTTAAAAGTCATAATTTTGTTTAATCATCATAACAATCAATTTGAAATTTGTGATTTAAAATTTGATAAAGCGATCATGGTTCTAATTCTTTCAATGATTTATTAATTTCCGATGGAAGTCTGAAAAAAATGTTTTTGATAAATATTTTTCTCATGGTACAAATGTCGAGAGAACAAACAATTCTGACAAATTTGGTAAAGTGTTCATTTATTAGGTGCAGTGCCGTAGCCATCTAGAATTGTATGTGATGTGTCTAGAAGGTTTATTACACAGGTTGCTGCTTTGTTTACACAGTACCCCAAAATTCTCTTGTACCCATTTTTTGTGCCTTATCCTGTAGTTGTGGTCAGCATTTTTAGCTGTCTCTCAACTATTGTATTAGAAAACCTACAAGACTTATCCATCACAACACAAAACCTACAAGACTTATCCATCACAACACAAATCAGTCCTCAATATTACCCATATTGCTGATCATCATAATCTGATTGTTTCATAGTCATTGCGTGGACCCAGTATTTATGACCTTTGTAAGTTGCTTAATTTTTGTATCTTTATAGGAATTCAATACCAGTAACTTAAGTATTACTCCCTTTAAATGTTTTTTATCTTTTTCTGCTATTGATTTATTCAGTGAAATACAATGAGGAGTTCCTGAAAGAGTGCCCTCTATTGGCATTGCCATTGCTGGGGGCCTTCTCAGGGACTGGTGCGCGTATTATGTCGTGGTGCAAAATCCATAGAATAGATTACAACAACAAAAAAAAACTACATACATACAATTACAATATTTGGGTTGTAGCAGAGGATTATGTGAAAACCCCACAAGACCCAGCTATGGCATTTGTAGGGAGAGTAATCAATATAAATGGATCAGCCTGTTTCACTATTATCACTATTGTTTTATTGTATCTTATCCTTGAGGCATGGCTGTTGACCCTTTATCTTTCAAACCCTTGATTTGGGTGGGGGGTGTGGGTTTGATAGTTTCGTAAATGGAAACCATCCTATTCTAGAGAGGCACATTTTGGAATATTTATGCTAAGCCCATAAACATAATCTTGAATTACCATCAGGCATTGCACTGTAAGTTGCATGTATAGTAGATTATCAACCTACTCCTCTGCCGCACCCCTCCCCTTATCCCCAGGGGCACAAGCTTCATCTGTTTTTGACCTCCCGAGCTGCAGGAACTCCCCATGGCTATTGCACTTCAAGATTAAGCCTAAAATAAAAAATACTTGCAATTGAAGATCATGTGAAGTGTTGTATTAGTCCAATTCTTCAAGTTACAATGATCATGCTTATAATTATAGTGCTTTGTATATTTCAACATCTGGCAGTCCCTTAAAGATTCTAGCTGACAAGTACTTCATCAATGATGCATTGATTATATTAAGTATTTGAATAAATGATTATAGCCTGCTGTATGCATATGTTGAGGATTATGCAGTAAAGATCAACTTAATATTCACAGTTAGCAGCAGGGTATTAGTAACATATGACAATGTATCATAATGGATCATTATTATTTTAAATAATAAAATTATGAACTATTGATCATGAATTAGATATTCAAACTATTTATGAATGTTCTTTCACAAGAAAAAAGCTTTATAATTAGATATTCAACAATCTATTATTTCTATTGAAATGATAATTTAGATAAGATCATCTATTGAGCTCAAATCATTGATATGTGAATATTCACCGCAAAAACTTGTTTCAAGGTATAAAATAATGCAAAGATCAGTTAACTTTACAGAAATGAATTACATTTGCTTTGTATAAAATGCAAAACTACCTGATATTCAATGAGAATTGTTGCCATTTTGTGGTTCAGAATCTGGTTTTTAACCATATGCTATTGAATAAGTCATGGTAACAAAAGGGTCGTCCGGGTGGGTTATTTTTCTTGTGAATTTAGTGGATTAACATGTACCTGTGATTGTAGATGTTTGTTGATTGGCTAAGACCATCTTTTTCGCAGTTAACCAATAGCTATTGATGAAATGTTGTATTCTGACTCAGTAAAGTTAGGTGCAATTGGAACATTTGTTTTTCTTGTGTATGTTTGTTGTTTTATCCTGTCCCATCCCGTTATATATCGCATAAACTGTAATTATATCACTCGTAAATGTTCCATTAAGCGCAGCAGCACTTATTTATCTTTTGGGGGCTTCGTTGTCGTGCTTATTCAAGTGTTTATTTGAAAATGGCACTTACCACAATATATTGTAGTTTTAAAATGCATTGTACATAGGCCAATCGGGATTGTTGCAACATTGGTGTACCTTTACGTTTATTCAAAAAGGAATATACCTCTAAAAAATGCAGCTGTGCTTATTCAAGAATGGCTTCAAGCTATAAAAACAAAATTTTTATCACGCCTTGTATAGAACGCATTGGATAACAGTGCTCATTTGGGAGAGGTGCTTAATGGAACATTGGGGAGTTTTTGCTGCACGACGTTAACCTCAACGTTAACGGATGATGTCATAATTTATTCATCTTGCGTTGCGGAATATGTTAATTTCAGGATTTTACGTGCTCAACGGACGTTAGTTACGGGTTTGTACATACATATTTCGATTTGTTTACAAAAGGAGCGGAGTTATCGCATTGCAAGTTGGGTACTAACGTTAAAGTTAAGGTTAACGCCGTCCGGCGAAAACTACCTAATTACGGGATCTCAATAAACAATATGTAAAGATAGTACAGTACATGAGGAAGTGAACATACTGCTGCACTGTACTGTCGGACAGTCCTGGACCCCTGTTGTACGCCGCCACGACGAGGTCATCTAACCAGAATTAATAATAATTTCCCCATCTATATAACTTACTTTCTGTGGGGGCGCGAGTAATTTTTGGAGGGGCGTGCACATCCCCCTAGATACGCCACTGCAGCCCATTGGTTTGGACCTCCTGTTGGCAAATTTCTGGAGCCGCCACTGACAACAGTCATCTTGAAAAGCTTCTTTTAAACATCCTGCTTAAAATATTTGGAAAAATGGTTAACAATAGAAAAATACATGCCATACAGAGAAAATATGAATGTCACTTAAATGCACATAACTTGTACATTGTCACAGACAGGTCACACAATCACAAGTGATGTTGTTGGTCTATGAGGAAGTGCTTAATTCAACTAGATGAAATAGACACTATTATTTAGTGATGTTGCAATTGAGATGCAAATGTATGCGGGAATGAAATGTGTTGAAGGGTGTGAGTGCAAGTAAATGTATGAGCCTACTGGAGAAGAGCGATATACTGGCTAATTTGGTAAGTATTGTAGCTTACTGCAATCTAATTGAATAGGCCTACCATTAACAAAGTTATGGAAATAGATTAAAATCGAGGGGTTCTTTTGGGAAATTATTAAATTTAAGAGGCTTTTTTTGAATGAAAAAAGATTATTTAAGGACATTACGAATGGTGGTTAGGCGGAAAAAATAATCGTCCAGAGAACATGGCTCATGACAAGAATGCGTGAATGTCATAATAGTGACTAGTCAAATAGCAGATGCAATTAGTGATGGTGGGTAGGGGTTAGCTTGTTGGCCATCGGCCGATTGAGATTAGCAGGATGGCAGGATCATTGTATTTTTTCTTGAAAACTTCGATGAGAATGTGCTAAAGGTCGGAAAAAGAAAAAGAGGAGTAAGACTATAGGCATAGACATATAATATACTCATTTTGATATTGACCTATGAAGAATGTGTTTCCACTCTGCTGCAGCTCAAATCATGCCAACAACCACAGTTCCAGGATTGATTGGATTATTGATTTGCTAAAATGAATATATTATGAAATTATTTTTATTAGGGGGGCGCTTATTCAAATTAGAAGTGGGCGCTTATTCAAACGGGGCGCTTAAGGAAATTTTCCCATTAGGAGGGGCAGTTATTCGGGAGGGGCGCTTATTCAAACGGGGCGCTTATTCGCGCGAGTAAGGTAAACTAATTAGCTAAAAGGCCATCTCCAAATTTCAATATCTCCTTGTATTTATTATGAAGGTGATTTTACTTTTATTGTCTTTTTGAGAGGAATACCATGTTTAGCAAACTTGCCGCCCACCAATTAAATGATGATTTAAAATAAAAATAAAATTTAATTTTTGGCCAATTAGCACACCCGCCACCACGAAAAAAAATGCCAATTTCAGAATGAAATAAAAGTTTTGGTTTTTTTTATTACGCCTTTCGCTGCCTTGGAATCTCCAAAATTGAGATGTATTACTTCCTAATTATAAAATTTAATGCATTAATCATCCCATACACATTCACCAATAAAATTTTATTCTTATTTTCTCCATTTGGATGTTTTTGGTAAAACTATTTTAAATAAGAAAACACAATTTTTTAAATATTTTTTTCCACCCTCCTCTGACGATCTTAAAAAATAAGTTTGCAAAACAGACAATAAAAACAGTGTAGTCTACTTGTAACAGCTTTTTTTTTTCATCTGAATTTGACAACCAAGAAACTTTGGTGCTGATTGGTCACTTCGATTCTAAAAATTTGCAATAAATGCAATAAATATCCATAGCAATCCAGACTGATGTAAAAAGTGTCGTTCAGCAGGTCAGTCTCAGTTCTCATGTGGTTAGAGAGCGCCACCTAATGATAGCTTAACGAAGGGCAGGACTTTTTATGTAGAATAGAAATAAATATTGAAACGCGAGCGAAAGTTGGTTATCAATAGTTCACGTAAATTCTTTTTACATGGAATTCATGTAGATAAATTCTACATATTAGGAGGCAGATTACGACTTTAGTAGATGCTACAGGTATTAGTGACTTTTATGTTTATTTTGATGTACCGTGTGAGTTGTTTACTTTTGAGAACCGATAGCCTAGCTAAGCAGGCCTAAAAATAAAATATTACTACTACTAGGGCCTAGGCCTAACTCAGGCATATTCAGAAGGTTAGGCTGGGTAGACTACCCTCTCTGCCGGCTGGGTTGGCGTATATTTTGGTACTAGGCCTAGCTAGATTGACTAAGTCACTAAGAGTCTAGGTCCTACACCTATTATTGTGTTTATGCGGTTTTCAATGTTTTTTTTTTATATAATTGTTCTGATCAGCTTTCTATTGTTTAGTAAGGCCTAGGCCTAGCTAGGCTACTACTAGTACTAGGCCTAGGCCTAGTAAGTAGTAGGCCTAGCCTAGCCTACTTGCAATCAATATTTAATACTCCTACATACTGTAGGGGCTTAATGGATGCATCGTCATCCTCAGTTTAGTGAATTTAATTGTTCGGCCGTGCACCAGTTTGGCCAAATAATAAGGGTTATTAAATGGAACGCCGAGTAGTGTAATTAGTGTGTGAATTAGATATCACAGTGCAACGTTGGCCGCAGGTTAGGGTGTATACTGTACAGGGAAATCATCCGTATTAAAATAAAATTGTTGAAATAAATAGTGTAAATAAAAATGTATTGTTTGTTTTTACTTCTACTTAGAAGAAAACAATACCATTTAAATATGTAATTTAGGCCTAGTACTTTATTATTATGATTGATTGTTTTATGGAGTAGTTTTAATAGCATAATTTTTAGTTAAGAAGTGTTTACATTTATTTTATCCTGCAAAATATTCTAAGTTGAAACTTTATTTCTTGGAAGAAATTTTATTTAACTATAGCTGTAACTTATCAAGAAACTTGATTTGTATTTTAGAATAAAGTATATAATATAATTAATTAATCCTGCATTATAATTATATATGTACGCTAACAAGTGTACCTACTGCAAGACGATTATACGTTCCAGAAAAAAGTGATTGATTGGTTACCATATTTAAATAACTTAATTTACCTCATGTACAAACACGATGATATAAGTGACCTATATATTAAATAGAGGTAATTAATAATTAACTAAAATAAAGTGATTTCATCAGAGTTATTAATTAAGTGTAATCGAATGAAAAATATTCTACTTGGGAATAATCATTTAATCTAGGCATGAATGGAAATAAATTGCTTTAAATAGGTATCAAGCTGCCAATACTAAGTTGCCCAGTAACAATTAATTCAGTGAGAAACGTTCCCACAAGTAGTGTCCAATGATATTCTTGGGAGTATAAAGGCACAAAGTTTTGTACGCTGCCAATTCAAGAATGTTATCGGAGACGAAGTCTTCATACGCCGCCAATTCAGAAATGTTATCAGAGACCAGGAAAGAATGTCAAATGCTGAAAATAGCCGACTGGCTTGATCTCTGTACATGGAAACTGTACGAACATGTGCGATAGTTCATCAATCGGCAGACACTGTGCACACTCATTCTGCAGGAATGGGCTTGTTTTGCCCTATCCAATACAAGTGACAACGGAAACATGTATTTTTATTGTTATCTTCTCAATGGAGGGTGTTTACAGTTAAAGTTTTAGGGCGATGTATTATTAACTTACACGGGACTTACACAAACCTAATAAAATCCACTGTTTTGGATTTTATTAGGTTATGGCAGCATAAGTCCCCTGATTTTATTGAAACCACATTAATTATTTGGCAGCATATTAAGACCCAACTATAAAACACGAAATATTGGATACTGTACAGCAGTAAGAGATTAACCACACACACACATACACACACACACACACACACACACACACGTACAGCATACACAACTTTGCGCCTACTTGGCGTTCCATGCAAATATATCGCGGCTGAAAATTTCCTACACCATTTATGAACTGTGTTGTAAAACTGAAAATTTGTGGATATTAAAGTATACTGCGGTTGATAAGGATTCCCTAGTAATAACAGGTCCAAGGTCCCTGAGAGGCAGTCAAGCTCTCTGATGACTGACTGACAGGTCCAAAATCCTAGCTAAGAAGATGGGATCCATATTATATTATTGGATTATTAACCCACCTCAGATCCACCAGGGTTAGAGCCAATTTTAAGAACAGGCACCACTAGCTTCGGCCTACATTATCTTTCGACTCCGTAATTAGCAAACGGAAAATGCCTGAAATCTAAAAAATATGGCTAATTATAAAGCCTACTGTACTAAATTGTGGTTGGCCATTGACTCCTACCTAGGCTAGTCCTACCAAAGTTGGTTGATCTTGCTGCTGGGTCAACATAAACATACACCCCTCAGTAGATATTAGTATGACATATAAGTAGATATTATATACAGTAAAAAGTGCATTTTCATTTTAGAAACGATGAGATTAAAAATGTCAGTGATAAGTCTTCAAATGCAAAAAGTGTATGTTTTTCTTTTGTAGCCTGGCATCAGTGGACGGTATTGTGATGGAAGCTCCTGAAGACATGGAAGTTGTGGTTGTAGACCCTCCCCCATATCATAACCCAGACCACACCCTCAAGGCATTTGAACTTCTGAATCAGTTCAGAAAGTAAGTATCATTGTGCAGCAAGGATTTCAGACCCATTTATGTATGAGACAAACATGGTCAGGTACTATAGCTGTACAAACTGAATAGGGGAACATTCTTTAATGTTATTTCAACATGATGTAGCCACATACAGTAAAAATTTGTTCCATCTGTCCAGATTTAATCCCAGGCTTTTGTTTTATGTCAAATAGCTCTATAAGACAGTGTAGGCAAATTGGGTTATAGGTTTCCCTCCAATGAAAGACCATTTTTGGGACTGGGGTTTCCATGATCTTTTGCTACTTTGGTCTCTAGAGTAGTTAAAATAGTAAGACATTGTTAATACATTATGGGGATAAAAGATAATGTTATGGGACCACAGAAAAGTGATCTTTAATTGGAGAGGTGTTTAATTAGGAGACCTTTAAATATTTTTGCAATTTCATCTAACAAAAAAAATGAATTGAAATTATACCTTGATTATCCAATAATTTAGTAGATTTACTGTACAGTACTTGCTACATTTCAACTACTGACCATGGTGTAGTTTTGCTATCATGCCCCACCAAGCCTTGGTGATTATTAGTTTATCAAACAATAATATATTTTATATTTTATGAAACCAAATTAATCTTTGAGAAAAAAAAAACATTACAGTAGATGAGATGATAGTCCTTTGAAAATGTTTTGATTCAGTGTTGGTTTTAATTGTCTATTATTTCAATGTACATTAATGGGTTTCACAACAGAATGTTAATGTTAGAATAAAAACAAACAGGCTTTTTACAGTACATGAGGCATTCCATTCCAAAACCAGCATACTGTTGCTATGTTAAAGTGAGTAATTAGCATAAGAATGGCAGTATTTTATACTACAGTATATTTGAGTACAAGGAGAATCCTTAATAATTTACATGTATGTTGAAGCTTGCCCTACACCATGTAGTTCTGAAGAGAACTGTTGTAGTTGAGAAAAACTTGACGTTTCGATTGAGTTGCTTCTTCTATCGTCTTCAGGAGAATAATATCTGCAGAAATTCCAAACAGAGAAATACAGTCAACACCACCGTTTAAATTTGGAGAATATGAATAATTGTGTTTTTTTTGGTTTTTTTTGGCAATGAATGCTGGTTTTGTGAAGGCATGCCCATTATTAAAAATGTTTATTTTTTAGATTCAGCATGAATTCTTCTTTAAAACAGTGTTTATTTGATTGACATTGGTTGAGTATTACTATTATGAAGTTATGAATATTTAATTCATTGGATATTAGCCATGTATGTTTTGAGAAAATAGCTTCTAAATCTTCCAAAATTAATAGTTTATTTTTAAGATTTGTATTTTAATTAATAATTTTAATATACTTTTAAGTTAGATTTAGTAATTAATATTTTGCAAAAATGTTCTTCAGTATATCATTTATTTAAATGCAGAAATCTGAAAATGTTGAAAATTATGATTCTTGGACATTTTGAGTGCTTGTGCGAAATTATAAATTGCCACAATCGGCGGGTTTTGCTAGAGCCAGTCACATAAATATATATACTTCATTCTCTTTCTTTCCATTCTTCAACTATAGTAACTACAGTTAATACATGACTACCCATCTTTAGAGTGTTGGCTCTAGGGTACACATTTAGGAGGTTAAGATGAGGGTGTATGGGGTCCAGAAGCTTCTTCCTCACCCCACTGTTACTATCAATTCAATACCCTTGAAAGTCTGTTCATTAATACCATAGCAGTAGTATTACGCAGTGTAAATATTTGTGTTGGCGAATTCATTGGATTCATATCTGAATTAAAATTTGACATTAGAATGTTGAATGGTAACTCTTGGGAATATCTTGCTAAAACTATCAGGTTGATATACTGTATATTAAATAATTAAAATAGATACAGTAAACCGTCTAATATTTCCACATTCTTGGGTAACTACTTACATAGGGTGTTTGCCATGATGCAAAGGATTATTCTATCATTCAAAATACATTGAAATATGTGCACCTTTAATTATTTTATTGGAGATAGCACCATTTTAAAATTATTAAAATATTACAGTATGTTTTTAGTTATTGTTATAAATTATGTTAATTGTCTTGCTTATTTTTCTCTATTTTTAGAGTTTATATATTTTATGTCCATGCTGTTAGTGGTGATTTTCCCTGTTGGCTTGGAAATAATTAATAAATAAATAGATTAATTATTTAATATATTTCATTATTTTAAAGTACCTGTATTATGTAAATTGCAGTACAGTAGATATTAATATCAATTGTTACAGTTACTGTATCATAAACATTATTATAGGGGCCTAAATACTAGTAAAAACCATCACATAAACCCTTCCCAAGATGATCAAATAGGAAAATAGAATTTACTTGGCATGATTTACTATAGGCCTACATTATAAAATTATAAACTGCCATAATACTGTAAGTAAATGCTTTAAAATAATACTATTCGAAACCAATTTAGTTTTTAGAACACTTTATAAATTACAAGTGAAACATTATGGAGAACCATGATTTATTGACAGTCTATTCATGTACAGTATTCATATTTGACTTGTTAAAGATATTTTCTATGTTTGAGGTTATTTTATATAAAGTAATTTGAATTGTAAATTTCTGTACCAAAAATTTTCAGTATTGAAATAGATGCATAGAAAATACTTGGCCTATTCTTTGCTTAGAAACATAAATTGTCTGAAAACAATTTTCATTGTAAAATTCATCAATCAGCAAAACCTTGTTTCAAACTTGTGTCCCTCTGGACTGTATTAATATATTTGATCTTTTTTTAAATAAGCTATATTTCAATAAATTTTTTAGGTTTTTCCAGATTTTATGACCAACTAATTAAAATTGGGGAGCAATTTGAGCTTCAGACATAATTTAACATTCATATTATAAAGGTACCTTAACCTCTGACCTTTAGCTTAGTGTGTTGTCAATACCCTCTTTTTTCATCATTGAGGCAAAGTTCAGGTTCCTGTAATTAGTTGATAGCAAAATGCACGGCAGTAAGTCATGATTCTCATCAGACAACTTTAATTTGGGGAAGCAGCCACAATGTCTAATTATATATTGTTTGTAGTTAATTTATTGCCGATCTCCTAGCTAACAAAATATTAACATAATGTAAAGTATGCACTCTATGAACTATAGTATGATTCATTCACTGTCATTAGATAATGGTCTCCACTTCATATATTTAATTAAGTGTGTTCTTATAGCTAATGGTAATTCATTTTTAGTAATATGACCAAAATGAGGACAGTACTTAGTCTTTGATTGTAAAGATAAAACATTCAAAACCAACCATGTAATAATGTACATTTAATGAATGGATAAATTAATGTATAAATTTTATATGAGTAAATGGATAAATCAGTAAAACGACATAGAACGAATATTAATCTGAATAAAGCGAGGGAGGCTCTTTATTCTGAGTAATGTTTGTTCAATGTTTTTTAGACATCAATCAGTGCATCTGTTGATTTTGGAAAATTAAACAGATGTAGTAATATAACCAGCTAACCTGATGTACTGTATAGTAAAATGTGGTCTTAATTGGTCCACTGCCTTTGTTATGAAGGTACTTACAATGAATGGTCATTTTCTTTAGCTTATTGTGCTTGAAGACTACTATTTACTTTAGTAATCATTTAATCCATGATCAATAATACGTCATCTATAAAACAAAATTACAGTACTACCTGTACCATAGTTTGTTGAGGATAAGCTTATCTCGGAAATAACACCATCTTAATTTTGTGAAATCTATGCAAAACACTAGATGGCATGCTGTAACTTAACTTTAGAGGTTTGTAACAGAAATTCTACATTATGTGCCTAGTAATACTGAAAGTGTGATGAACCAAGTGTGAAATACAGTATATTGCATTAACATTTGACATCAAATTGCAGCCTACTGTAAGCCTAGCCTTTGGCTAATAGTATTTCTTTGTGAGGCCACAGACCCTATATGGTCTGTGGTGAGGCTCACTGTTGTTTAAATCGTGTGGTCCTTGCGTAAAAATAATATTTTGTTCAAGAAAAAAGATTGTACATGATGAACTCTGCTAATTGTAGGTTAAATAAGTGAAAGCAGTGGTCGGCTTAATTCAAAGCACAGTATATTAGTATAATAAGCAAGGGAAATTATAAAATACTTTAACACATTTTCTGAGGCCCACAGGGCCTTAGGAATCCAGACTATTTTATTTGACAAAAAAACTGTGTATGCCAATATATAGTCATGGTGTGCCTATATATGGTCATGATGTGATGTCATCATGACCATATTTAAGCATGTCACATGTTTTTGTCATATAAAATTTTCTAGTCTGGACAGTGCTTTAAAGTACAAAATTCTTAATAGCCATTATTTCCTTCAGACAGTTTTTTTCAAAAAATAATCTCTCCTTCGGATTGTATTCTTCAATAGCACCCTCAATGCTTTACAATTACTGTACAGCATTCTACACAAGGATCAAAGCATACTACTGTATCAGATTGTTAAAGTAATTTATTCTAATTATTTATAGACAGAATATGCTGTGTGATGTCATCCTGGTTGCCGAGGGAATTGAGGTACCTGCTCACCGTGTCATCCTTGCAGCGTGCAGTCCATATTTCTCGGCAATGTTTAATGGAGAGCTGTCTGAGAGTCGAGCTCAGAAGATAACACTTCAGGAAGTTGATGCGAAAGCATTGTCATTACTTCTTGATTTTGTTTATACATCAGAGGTTCAAGTGACAGAGGATAATGTCCAGGTATATAGCCTCCCCTATAGTTAAAGTCATTAGTTGGAGTGGTTTTCAGCGGTGTATCTAGGAATCTTGAAATGGGGATTGATTGGAGCACAAAGATAGAGTGGGTGGGGGCTTGTGAGGAGGTTATTGGGCACAAAATAGGATGATATGAGGTGATTTTGAGTGTGAATTTTTGCTTTGGATATTTTGTATGGGTGGGGATGACTGAGGAGAGGAGCGCAATTTTTTTGTGGAGGCGTACCCCTTAGATGATATGCCACTGTTTGGAGCTGCAGTTGCTGTTCTGCTACTCAGCCTTTAGGCTGGAGGCTCAACTCTTTGCTGTGCATTTCATTACAGCTACTGTAGTATTCTGATTAGGCCTAATACAAGAAACTCAATGAAAATATTTTTTGACATCTTGCATATAAAAACCTTTTACTGTATATGCAAGAAATCATGAAAAAGTAAATGAATAATGAATATTGATAATTATTGAATTTGCATTTTTATAGACACTATTACCTGCGGCTAGTCTGCTCCAATTAAATGATGTACGTGATGCTTGCTGCGATTTTCTTCAACGTCAACTCCATCCGACAAACTGTCTAGGGATACGTGCCTTTGCAGATATCCACTCATGCAGCAATCTATTTGCACATGCTCAGGGCTACACTTTACAACATTTCAAGTGAGTGTTCCGTTTTCTTGTTAATATTATGTAAGAATTCTTTTTCAATTAATTTTAGTTTTTTTCTAAAGTGAGTCAATTTACTTAGGAAAACTACACCCCATTTTATTGTAATTGCTTTCATTATTATTTATTATTCTTTATATTCTTTATTTTTTTATTGTTATAGTTGTTATTGAAAAGTAAAGGTAAACCGATGTTCAGTAAACGTCTATGGGGAAATCAGCTGTTAGGAGTTCATTGTACTAAGCCTCAGAATTTTGTGGTAGGGTAGCTAGTTCTTTTCCCGTGATTGTTGTTGTTAATGTGTTAACAATACAATTCATTCATAGTTATTTATTCACTGGGAATGTTGTTGTTCAGCCCAATTTCATCAACTGTTCATTTTATTTGGTATCCATAAGTCTGGTTGGCGGTGATATATTCCTAGCACAACCAGAAGGAAGAAAGAAAATTAGCGAAGTGATAGAGAGGAAGAGAGGGAAATTACAAAAATGAAAGGAGGAAGGACGTAGGTATACAATGAAGTAAGATATCCAATGAGAGCAATTTGTGTTTGTCCTTTGCAGTGATGTGGTTGCCACGGACGAATTTAATAATTTATCAGCTGAGCAGGTGTCCGACTTGATCAAGCGTGACCACCTTACTGTTTCGTCTGAAGAAGAGGTAATTACGTTTCATTTGTGTAAAATGGCAGTAGTTGTAATATTTATTATTATTTTATTCAACAATGGTTTTAACAGCTACAACAATTTGAAGAGGTACTCTAAACATAGATACCTTAAACTACAATGTATACAAATATGTATATGTACATATATTTAATGTGAATTATTAAAGTAATATGTAAATATTGCTAGTATTAATTTTCTAATTCAATGTAAATAGTGTTACTGGGCATTTGTTAAGTGCCTTTCCTTTAGGTTGTAAAGTGCAAGCAAAGTTTCCTCAAAATCCCAATCTTGAGCAAGCAATCAACATCAAAACCATCTCATAAAAAAGTCTATGGATAGACATCAACATAAAAAAGACAACAAAAGACAGAAAAAGAGAGAAACAGAGACATGTGAATTAGGCAAAAAGATGCGTTTTAAGTGATCTTTTGAAAATATTAACCTTAGAAATGTTATAGGAGAGATGTTTTGCCCTACCTGATGTGTTATCGTACTGAATACTCAATACATCCCAAAATACTAGCGAAAAATATTTGCAAGTGATTCGGTGGGAATCAAACCCATGACCTCCAGATATCTAGCCTGATGTCTTAACCGCTAGACCACCGAGCTTGCACTGGGTGATTAGTGATGAATCCAATCCCCTAGTAGCAGAGGATACTGCAAGTGCTATTATGATGTGAGTTTGCGTCAGGAAAATATCATAGGAATGATGTTTTGCCCTACCTGATGTGTTATTGTACCAAATGTTCAGTACGTCCCCAAATACTAGCAAAACAAATTTGCAAGTGATTCGGGTGGAAATCTAACCCACGACCTCCAGGTGTCTAGCCTGATGTCTTAGAAATGTTCTGAACATAATACAAACTTCATTAGAAATGTTCTTAAGATCAATACAAATTATTTGCGTTCAGGTGTTTGAAAGTGCAGTTGCGTGGGTGAAACATGATCCGGTAAACCGGCAGGACTACATGCCCCAGCTTATTGAGAATGTCCGGCTACCTCTACTCTCCCGCGAGTTCCTTGTGCAACGTGTTGAGATGGAGCCGCTCATCAAGTCCAGTAGCATGTGTAAGGACTTTTTAATTGAAGCGATGAAGTATCATCTACTTGGAAAAGAACAGAGGACGTTGATGAAAAACCCACGAACAAGGCCTAGAACACCCATAGGACTCCCGAAGGTAACGCTTATTGTCAAGTAACATGCAACATTAAAAATATAATGATTGAATTTGTTAGTCAATATGTATTCTTAATTCCTGCTGCAAATAAAACAAACTCATAATCAATGATAAAGAATATGATCTTTATAATAATAGGAAAAATTTTTACTTTTGTAGAACCAGTATGCTTACTGTTTTTATTGTAAACGGTTTTTGTCGACTGTCATTTATGACCGGATCTGGCAAAACCAACCGATCGTAGAAAAAATTTTAAATAGTGGGTTTTGCCAGAGCCAGTCACATTTGGAATCATCAGTACGAATGTGGTTTGGCTGTTTTTTTTTTACTTCCATCAGTTGAGTTGTTTTCAGTTGAGTTGTTTTCAGTTGGGTTGTACTGATTTAAACAAAAGAATATTTTTTTCTGTTAAATTGTAAAAACTGATAAAGATTTAGCATCATATTGATAATGATGATGTAATATTAATTTTGTTTTTTAAGTTGATGTATGTTGTCGGAGGTCAAGCACCCAAAGCCATCAGGAATGTGGAAGTGTACGACTTCAAGGATAAGCGATGGTCAGCAGCGGCTGAGATGCCCAATAGGAGATGCAGAGCAGGTAATTCTTTTCACTGCCGTGCTGTCCCACCTATATTTTGAGAGCAAGGCAACATATTAGTCAGTCAATCAATGAAATTTAATAAAAATTAGAATTTAATAAAATGCTTGTCGTAAACCCAACGATGTAACACATGTGATGGTAAAGACAAAAATTAAGAAAGCCCCCACAGAGCTTTGCTCAACAGAACAAACTTTGATATATTTCAAATAATTATATTCAAATGTTGCTGATAAGTAAATTTATTTATTTTATTTTATTTTTTTTTTTCATTGGATAGTAACCACCAAAAGTTGCATTAAGAAACTGTGAATGAAACCAGTAGCTGAAAGGTCAACATGAAACAAAGTTGAACTTATCACCACAAACTTATATTGACTTTTATAAATAATGTTTCTGTACATTTGTAAAAAACCCCTGGTTCTTGGCTATTGACACCTTGGTTCTGTGATTTGAGAGCAAAGGCATTTTAACAACCAAAGTCTCTTGTTAAAAAATATGATATTATGGGAATCAGAAAACTAATCTATTCGGTCTAACACTTGTTTGGCCTAGTCACTTTCTATACCTTGCATAATTGTAGTAGTGTAAGTTGCAAGTAAAAATGAAATGAATGAATGGAAAAAACTTCAGTATCTGTATGGTATTTAAAAAGAGAAGAGATGAAACACTGTGTATGAGAGTACAAACAAATATAAAGTGCATTTAAACTATATGATGTGCTGGACACATAGGAAACTGTAAACAAAACCATCAAGTCAACATTGTGTGTTTATAAAATCATGTAATCAGTTTACAGAACAGTCATACCAAGGCCATTGCCAAATCCTATTTGACCTACTTAAATTCTTAACTCATATGGTGCATTTGAAATACACACTGCTCGATGAAACAGCTTGATTGTTTTTCCTGGACATGATTTATGCTCTTAAACTTACTGCAATGGCTTGGGTAATTTTACCAAAGATAATGTTAAGCCAGCTTTTGGTTGAAGTGACAATGTATGTCGTTAGGTCCAGTCTAAAGAGGGATTTAGTTTACATAGCATTGAGTATCTCCATCCTATGATTAGCGTGTTTTGTTTTTTGGGATTTTTTTTATGATACTATTCTCTATCCACATAGGAGTGGCTGTAGTTTCCTCACATATTTATGCAGTAGGAGGTTTCAATGGTTCCCTGCGTGTACGGACTGTGGACTGTTACGATGCTGTACACGATGTGTGGTCAACTGTTGCATCGATGGAGGCACGTCGCAGTACCCTGGGCGTAGCAGTTCTCAATGGTTTGATTTATGCTGTTGGTGGATTTGATGGGACTACAGGTGATGAATTAATTTCCATAATAAATTTGATATCAACAACTTATCTGGCTATATAGTATTCAACCTCTTTGCTACTAGTGTTTGAGTCGATTCACACAGGTGGAAGTACAGCACATGGAGTAAACATTTTTGAAGGATCAGAGTCATCAATTGAAAATTGAAAGTCATTGCTTTCAATTTTTAATTTTTCAATTTCATTTTTTTTTTTTTTTTTACTTTTCCCTTGCTGGGTTTTTTTTATATTTTTATTGGGAGAGAGGTGGGGAGAAAGTTCTTTGAGCCTGAAACTTTCCTTGAATATACCTATGCTTCACATATTGATACTTGTTTATTTTTTTAATGAATTTAAGTATTGTATGTTGGTTCTCCCTGATTTTACGTCTTCAAGTTAGACCAATTTGTTAAAAAATTTTTCTTATAAGCTATTTATAAACAATAAATAGTTAATCATCCTCATAATTATTATTGTTATTTTTATTAGTATTATTCTTATTATTATTATATACTGTATATATAATTACATCATTATTTTTTTTGCAGGTCTGAGTAGTGTTGAAGTTTACGATCCAAAGAGTAACGAATGGAAAGCAGTTGCGTCGATGACAACGCGGCGCAGTAGTGTAGGAGTTGCTGTTTTAAATGGTATGATACAAACCAATGTTTAATGGTTATTGTAAAGGGCTCTGTATTAATTTTTTACTGTATTCTCTTGTCAGTTCTGCATCTTTATGAAATAAAGCTACTATATAAATAATAAACTTCATGATTGCTGTCACGCACCAGGTTCTGCTCTCAGTTGTCAAATCTTTGTTTTAATATTTTTCATTTATATTTTTTAGTTATCATTGGTATTGTTATTCTTAATTTTATTATTTATGATTATGTTATTTTTATTGTTAATATTAGTATAGATATATTTACTATATTGAATTATTATTACTGTTCTTATTTTTCTTGTCAGGTCACCTGTATGCTGTGGGTGGGTATGATGGGGCTTCTAGGCATTGCTTGAGTTCTGTAGAATGTTATGATCCTGCCAAAGATGAATGGACAGCAGTCAGCGACATGACAACAAGGCGGAGTGGTGCAGGTATTTCATATATTAAAGAGCTTTCGATATCTCGTTTGAGATCCAATCCGCCAAGATAGTTACCCGTTCTCATTACCGTTTAAAAAAATAGTGAGCTTTCTCTACCCTGTTTTGTGTTCCCTTGAGGACCAAACCCTTGGTGGCAGCACAGCCTGTTGCTACACCCGTGGCACATACTTGGGCAGCGGTGGCTAATTTAATAGTACAGAATGGCTAGGGCCCAGCCTAAAATGAAATAAATTGATTATATGAACATCTGTGAAAAATTTGAATGGAGATGCTTACATAGAATATAATTGATACTAATTAGTTTCATATTACCTCATCTTATTAGTGTGTCCAGTGGAAATTGACTGCATTCCAGTGTTATATTAATTATTCTATTTGTATTATTTTATGTTTTTTATGCTACTATTTTATACTAGATAAAGTTTTCATTTTTCCACCTTTTAAATTGTTTGTCTTTTTGTGGATTAATTGTCAGCTGCGATTTGGGCATCTTTTCATTTATAGACACTTGAAATCGTTAGTTTTTGTTTCAAAGCTGATTAATTAATCGACTTAATTGTTGATCAATAAGTTGTCCATTAACTACATTACTCTGGTTCCATTTATAACATTTCTAATTCTCTTTAAGGTGTGGGGGTCGTTGATGGAATGTTGTACGCCGTTGGTGGCCATGATGGACCACTGGTCCGTAAGAGTGTTGAGCTCTACAACCCTGAGATGAACGAATGGACAAAAGGCTCAGATATGACTCTATGCAGGAGGAATGCTGGTAAGAAATTTAATTTAAATGATAATTAAATTGCAGTATTGGGCACACTGTAAAATCCAAACTGGCTAGTTGAAGGGTTAAACTATACTTGGTGCCTGCCTTTCAGTTGTCCAGAGTGTGGGGTTTATGGCACATTACATCCATCCCCTTCTCTTGATATAAAGTTAGCTTACAGATATTGAATGTATATTATATATATAATATATTTTTCAGGTGTGGCAGCTGTAAATGGACTGTTGTATGTCGTCGGTGGTGATGACGGCTCTTCAAATTTAGCGTCAGTTGAATGTTACAATCCCCGCGTAGATCAGTGGGTACTCCTGGAGTCCTGTATGTCCACAGGACGAAGCTACGCAGGAGTCGCAATCATTGACAAGTCGCAGAGGTGACGCCAGGATGAGGGCGCTGTATCTGGAACTACAGAAGAAGCGCTCCAACAAACCACACGGAATTTTACCATACAATGGACTGGAAATTCCAAATAATGTCTTAACAGTTTGCTGATTGTTTTGTCTTCAATGTTGATGATCTTGATGACTTTTAAAAGTCAATCATATATGAAACTTACTTAAAGCATTCTGGAATAGATGCTGTATAGCAAATGTATGAATATACACTTTCTGGGAGTGTTGCTAAGGAGAGATGTAAATATACAGATTCAGGGACTATTGAGAACAGAAGCATTGAGCAAAATATTTATCCTGATAGGAATGATGCTGTGAGGGAGGTTGTGTGTACACTATCAAGATTTATGTGGCACATATGTGTGAAATGCCCATATATGGATGTGATGATGTCATTTCACATCCATATATAGGCATGATGATGTCATATGACATCCATATATCTGCATAATGATATATCATCTATATATGGGCATGATGTCATATCACATTCAAATATGGACAAGATGATGTTATATAACATTCATAATATGGAACAGATATGGACATGATAGGTTCATATCAAACCCATATGTGGGCAAATTACAGGTATTTGTTGCATAAAACTTGAGTGTGTAGACCGAGCTTCACAAGTGAATCAAGATGCCAGAATTTTAAATTCAAGTGAATTATACGGAATGAAAAGTTTTTTGTTGTGCAGTGGAATAAACTCAGTGCCGTGGCAAACCTAAAGACTTCCATTGATATGTACAGTATATGGTTTGAAAAGACGGATGCCTTGGCCTGGCCTTGAGCGTACTAATACACAGATACACAGATGAAAGATTTTGTGCGATGCTACATCAAATACGCAACACGTAGCCTTTTGTGTATCTGATCAAAAGTGTGGGATATCAAGCTATCATGGGTAGCAAGCTAAATTGCATATGAACTGAACACACGCTTTTTTATATAAATTCTACCAACTGCATTGAGGCTCTTGATTTTGTCTACTGCCACCACAGTTCACATCACTCAATTGATGATTTGGCTGGACACAATCTTCTTTATTTTGTGTTGCATCTAACAAAATAATAAGGTCCCCAATACTTCTCATGCAAGGCTTGTACACTTACCATATGTTTTTGCTTTTAAGCTTTTTTCATAAGTGTGTTCTATTACCAATGTTTTCACCGGTGCTTTGTCAATATATTGTGCATAATTGTCAGTATTTTTCAAATGCAGCATGAGTTTAGTATGTTACACAAAATTCATCTGTCACCAGGCTGCAGAATGGTTTTTAGTCATTTACACTGTTTTTTAATGTAAAAACTAATATTGAATATACCTTGAATGTATGACATTGTTGTATAGAGCATGTTACTTGAGGCAGTGTTTGTTGGTTTGGTTTTTTTTTTTTCATGTGGGACATTTAAATGTACAGAGTACTTTTGTTTTAAACAACATCTCAGAGATATTTAAGATAAATTTTAAAATTTAATTTAATTTTTTTAACTATGAGAGCTATTTTTTTGTATATTATTATAGTGTCATTAATAATTTGTGTATGTATTGCTTTAATCTTTATAATATCATTGTTAACATTTGTACATTATTTTTTAATCGTCTTCCTATGTTTTATTATCTTTTCAAAATCATTATTGTATAATAAAAGTAACTTATTTTAGTAAATTGAAGTACATTATGAAGTTCTACTACTGTTGATTATGTTGTTTTTGTGTACAAGATTATGTGCCTGATTCTGCTGCAGTTCTTTGTGTTTAAGACATTATTATGTACAAGTAGGTGAATTGATTAAAGAAACATTATTTAATACTAAAAATGAAATGGGAACTCACTAGTATCCTTACACTTTAACCTTGATTAGGAGTGTGTGTAATGTGTGTTTAGTGTCGGGGAGGTGTGTTGGGGGGGTGTGGGGAAGGGGGGGGGGGGGGGGGGGGGGGGGGGGGGGGGGGTGTTGCAGGGCTGTTTGTGTGAATGATGTGTAATATAGAGGTACATTGCATTAGTACATGTACAGTAGTCACTACTCCGTACAGGTTCATTAAAATATATATTGTCTTGTAAAATCTGAAAAAGTTTATACTTTGACTGCTTAAGCTATTACTGTCAATTGAGTTTTTGAATTAAAAAAAAAAATTGTCATGTTTAATGGATGAAGAAATAATACTGTTCCTATTTTCTGTGCATGCCTTTAAATTGACTGGTAATCAAATTTTAGGATGTCTCAAGTAAAAATATTTCAGCAAAAGGGAACATTTTTGATCTGTTTCCATGCTATCTATCGTTTACAGTATATTTTTAAGCAGTCTGTACAAAAAGAAACAATCTTAATATATACCGAAGAGGCTTTGTTTTGCATGAAATAATGATTATATTTCAAAAGCCTATTTTTTCTTACTGCCATTGCCATGTATTTGTGAGGTGGGTTGTCATCATGGATTGTTCATCGTTAATTGCCTATTAATGTCCTTGTTCTACTAAAATGGTTACAAACCACTCCTCCCTGTAGGTAAGCTTGCTTTGAAAGTACAAATCATTTTAATCCTGTATATTTGTGATAAGTTATTGTTTTCTCAAGGATGGTAATTTTGTAGAAGGTCGAGTCTTACTTATCGTGGCGATAATTCTTGCAATCATGAGAAAGATAAGCAGCAATATATTTTGTGGATATTTATTGTATTTCTTTGCCTGTTATTGTACTGATGTTTCTAGCATATTTCTATGGGATGGGATCTTGTTAATATTACTGTATTGTACTTCTCTGAGAAATGCCTCCATAGTATTCTAGACCTATGTTTATATGTGGGTGATGTATGGTGGGTTCTTCCTAATGTTTGTTACTGTTAATAGAGAATAAGTTCTTCACATAATGTACTAAAATATTGTAACTAATTTGAAATACGACGACATAACATATTTATAAACATTTTGTACAAATTATAATAAAGGGATATATAATTGCACAGTGTGTCAAATTGTGATGCAGTATCCATGATGTTATTATATTTATATTTGTTTGTACTTAATTCATGTTAATTGTGTGTCTACATTCTTTTCATTATAATTATCATTTTGTTATTGTTGCTGTTATTATTATTTAAGTTACTGATATGTCAATTGATATATAATCAAAGTTAAAGAATGCATTTCAGAGATGTAAAGTGGTTAATATTGTATATTAATATTGACTAGATTAATATAACCTAGTTATAATATTATGTTTAATCTAGTCAATATTGACTAGGTTAACTATATCTTAGTTACATTAACCTAGTTAATATTGACTAGATTAAACAACCATATTATAAAATCCAGTCAGTAAAATAGGTTGACATGATCCTTGTAGTGAATCCTCATGTGTTAATTTCTCCTCATACTCTCATTCCTTTCTTACCTTCCCTATTTTCTTACACCGTATGTTGTGCCTTTAAATGTTCTTAAAATGAATAATAGTCATTCATTTAGTTTTTCTCTGTTGAGGTTAATGTTTGCAAGTACATAGTGGCAGAGTGTCTAAAGGCTTCTTGTCTGCAAATTTGTTAAACTGTACAGTGTTTTGCCTTGTAATAAGATCTTTTATTATTCAAGTGTATATTGTTTATTAAACTTTTATTCAATTTTATGAATGGCTTTCTGTATTTCATTATTGGCCGACACATGCCCACACACACACACAGATAGTACCGCTTGCGGACATTGCTTGTGGAATGCTTTGCCCTATACAGACTATCAAATTTTATTTGACATCACAACCATATATAGGCACATCATGACTTATATGGGCATACACAATGGCGTGGGCAAAATCAGACTACGGAAAGATTTTCATAAAATTCTTGTATAAATAAATATTTAGGACACTGCACCTTGAGCATCAAGTGTGTGGATGAAGATAAGTGCACTAAAAAGGATAATTGTGCAGATCAAGACACAGGGACACCATCTGCCGGCTAGTCTATTTTGAGTTTAAATTGACGACCCCTCAGGCTGGACTTGGGGATACACATATATAGTTCAAACAAATAGATAAAAATAAAAATATGCTTGACAAATCATGACACATTATAGTTAATATCTTTATGATTTATACATTATTTGTGTTCTCAGTGCTAAGTATATAATGTTGGCAGAGGGCTCAATGGTAAACCAGAACGAAAATTAACAAAAACATAACACAC